CACCCAACCCGCTCCGAGCTGGGATCGAACCGACAACCTTCCGCATGGGAGTTGGTTGCTCAAACAAGGAGGCCAAAGACCATGGCCTCTAGAGTATGTCGCTAGAGCACCTTTAGAGGTCAGAGGAGTGAGGTTAACCTGCACAGCACACACTAGCTGGCCTCTGTTACACTCACCCCCCTAAACCTCACTCCCATCTGGGTCATGGCACCAATGTAATCCCGCCGGTCCTACGCCGCCCAACCCGCTCCGAGCTGGGATTGAACCGGCGACTTTGCGCATGGGAGTCGGTTGCTCTAACAAGGAGGCCAAAGACCATGGCCTCTAGCGTCTGTCGCTAGAGCACCTTTAGAGGTCAGAGGAGTGAGGTTTACCTGCACAGCACACACTAGCTGGCTTCTGTTACACTCACCCCCCTAAACCTTACTCCCATCTGGGTCATGGCACCAATGTAACCCCGCCAGTCCTACGCCGCCCAACCCGCTCCGAGCTGGGATCAAACCGGCGACCTTCCGCATGGGAGTCAGTTGCTCTAACAAGGAGGCCAAGGACCATGGCCTCTAGTGCTGTCGCTAGAGCACCTTTAGAGGTCAGAGGATTGAGGTTTACCTGCACAGAACACACTACCTGGCCCCTGTTACATGTCCATGACCAAAATGCGGCCTCCAGGAGACAGTAGCAGTCTCCGAAATGAGACGCAGATTCAGAGTTCCACATTAGAGCTGTAATCAGGCCATAAAAGTTAGGCCAGACAGAATTCGACCCCGAAGCCCGAACCCGTTTATAGCGTGACATTATTCAAATTTGCACGCGCACACAGCTCTTTTGCCTTTTTTCAAGAATGAGTCGTTTATACGTGTTTTCGCATAATTTATTCATAACAAACATATCGGCCACTTAGAAGTTGGAACAAAGAAATAAAATAAGTCTCTGTAACATCGTATCTCAGCACTCTAAATGAGCCTGGTACACTTAGCCTTTACATTGGCCAATGCAACAATAAAAATAAGTCTTTCCTAACAAATTAAATTTAAATAATTTCTAAATTATGACGGTTATTTGGCAATAACCAAATTAAGATAATGGCTCTGTGGGATTTGTTCTGCCACTTCTCTTTACAATCTGGCCTTAACGTGACGGTGAAGCTGAAAATTAAAATAACAACATTAGCCTATTTACCCTGTCTACATTATGCATTTATGGTTTAATTAATATCCTATCCCTGAAAATCCTTTACTCACCAAGATTAGGCTACGTGTTTTTGTGGAGGAACATTATTGAATCTACTGTAAATGGCTTTAGCACAGTCCCTGCGCACTGATGGTGCGTCCAGCAGCACTAAACACCCTTTTACTGCTGCTACTGGCCGAGATGCATAGTACTGATGTGGTAATTCTGCAAGTTTTGGGTAGGATTGTTTTTTCATCTTCCACCAGCCAAGAACATCCATTTCATTTTCCATGACAGCAGTTTTAATGTAGCGAGTGACCTCGTCATCTTCCCTGTCAGCTTGCTGTACATTGCTGTTTAGCGCTCTACTGTAATACGGAGTGTATGCGCGACTGCCGAAATACCTTGGCGGCTAGAATGACCACTGTTTTTGAATTGGGTATATGGCGAGCTAGTGTTGTTCCCAATCTGATAAACTTTCGATGAGCTGTTATTCTGAGTTTTTTTCTATTTTATACGGTTCCTTTTACAGCATCGATGTTGTAATGTAATTAAAATACAATCAGTTAAATAGACTTTGGCAAAAGGCTTGAGTTGCTTGAGTAGGCTTGAGTTGCTCAAGCGTAAAACGAGGCAAAAAGCCGTTTACCCATCAGAATCTGCAGGTTAGCGCAGAAGCTCCATTGAATATACTGGGGTAAAATAAATGCTCATACTATAAAGACATGGCGGGGAAAATGTATATTAATGCAGAGCTTCTTGTACAATATGAGACCCACTTTATATCGGATATCACTCAGCCAGTGGAGATCGCTGAGTTTTAAAGAAAACAGACCTTAAACGCGCCGATTTTGTAATAGCATTCAGTTCACCAGAATCGGTTAACCCAGGTTACTGGCAAATTAAAAGTCCTATTAGCATGCTTCGACATATACCCTATTGGCTGTTGGCCTGACCGCAGTTAAAATTCGCTCTTTTTGGGCCCTATCATACACCCGGCGCAATGTGGCGCAAGGCGCGGCGCAATACTTGTTTGCTAGTTTCAGCTTGGCGCAAAAGTCATTTTGAGGTGTTGCACTACGCTGTTTAAATAGCAAATGCATTAGCGCTCATATGTGCGCCCATAGGCGTTCTGGTCTAAAAAGGAAGGCGTTCTGAGGCGGACCGCTGGCGCGTCGCTATTTTGAGAAACTATAATAGATTTTTCATTAGACCAAAACAAACCCGGTCTAAACTCCGGCGCCTCGCTTACACACTGCTTCATAGCCTACACACAAGATGTAGAGCAATAGGCAAATATCTTTACATATGAAAAAATGTAAATATTAAGGATATATAGGATATAATAAGAATAGATATAGGATATAAATATAAAGGATTAAAATATTACAAAACATATTATTTTCTAGCCTACATAAATATGAAAAATCACTGCTTTTATGTCTTCTTCATCTCGGGAGGCTTTTTCAGTTCATTCATAACAATTTGCTTTTGTATAATGTTATTATTATTAGCAGTATTATTTATTATATCCATATTTATATTTGTTTTATTAAAAACAAGCTTAGATTTGCCCACCTGTCAGGTTTTAGACCATATGGGGCACAGCATGTGTTTTAGGATATAACTCAGGTTTTTGAGCACATTTTGTTATTATTGTTCATTTATTCATTTGCTGGAAATTAGAACTAAATTTAGAAATATATAAAAACAAATATTTGTGCTTAACAAACGCAATTAATTATTTATAGACTAATTGATGTCTGTGCATAAAGGTTTCCCTATCCACAAGAGTGAAAGTGAAAGTAGATCGATTATCTCTCATTCTTGAGTGGTAGATGCTCTGTTTTACAGTTTTCTGTTTAAAAAACTGTTAACTGTTTGCTAGTGAAATGCTCAGTTTTTCCACTTACTTTACGTCCTGTAAATAGCAAATGCGCTTATGGCGCGATGTAGCTGGCTCTTAAAGGGAATGGGAGATGAGACTCTGATTGGTTTATTCTCAAAACACAGCTATAACTCATTAAGAAAATAAACTCAACCCTTTTAGACCATGCGCCACAGCGCAATGCGGATTTTCCCGTCCTTAAATTAGCAAAAATTCATTCTGACACGCCCTGAAAGCGTTTGCGCCCTGCGCTTTGCGCATGAACCTTCAACTGGAGCCCTTTAACTTCTCCGTCATCATTTGTTTCACCTTTGCAGATAGATTTTAATCAAAGGATTTGATTACTTTCTTGCGCTAATCGAAATGCATCACATGTTCATTTACCGCACAAGCCTAAGCCCGGCCTGACCCCCGTCTAAAATGATAGAACTTAAGCCAGAACCTGTCGGGTCCTGTTCTTCGAGTTCGGCTAAAGATCTTCGGCTCTATTCCACATGAGGTGACTATTAATTAGCAAATAATATAAATATTACAAGTGTAAACATTAGTTGAGAAGGTTACATTGTAACCCTGTGTCCTAACAACATGCTACATGACAAGATTTGTTTGCACCAGACAAAACACGACATAAGTTTGAGGTGATCATCATTGTCAGTTTCTGCTGTTCACCTGTGAGAAATCGAAGCCGTTTCATATATACAGTATTAATTTCCGGTGTTGATTAGAACAAAAACTTCTTTTAGTTTGGAGAATATTTCTTCTGTCGTGTGCCATTGCTTTTATATAGAAAACTATTTAAATCAGCCTTTAGGCTCAATCGTTATGCTGCGTTCACACCAGTTGTAAAACGCGCGTCAAGCGCGAGTGATTTACATGTTAATTTAATGCAAACGCGCGAATAGACATCCTGCGGCGCAATACGCGTGAATGGCGCGGCGCGAATGACGAGAATTGCGCGGTGCGCATGGCGCGAATGGTGTGGCGCAAATTGAGCGTTTTGCGCATTTGACGCGCTCAATGCGCGTTTCGCGCGAATCACTCGCGTTCGAAAATCTGAACTTTAGCGGACATTCGCGCCGCGTTAACCAATCAGCAGCTTGCTCTTGTGGGGGCGTGATTGTGACATATCGCCTGTTGTCGGTGTCCCAGGGGAAATCCCCTAGCAGACAGCGACAAATAGTTCATCAAATTGGGCTGTGCTCAGTCAGAAGCACCGCTGAAAACCTCCATCAGCCAGGTTCAGTTTCTGGAGGAGTCTATGAGCTTAAAGAGCTGGATGCACCTCTGAAAGGATGTAGTGGACTCAGACACGGCTCTAAACGTATCGACGCTGTTTATATCCTTCATAAAGCACAAAAATACTGTTATTTTCTTCATAAAATCCATGTTAGCCCTTTAGCTATGAAGCTAGAGTCACGGGGCAGACAGAAGCTTTGCCCATCACGCCAATCCGCGTCTGTTCTGAAGTGAATTTGACACGCGAATGAAGCGGGGTTTGACGCGCGAATGAAGCGAGCAACCTCCAATGTTCACACAACTATTTACGCGCGAATCGCAATTTATCCTCGCGTTACGCGTCTGGTGTGAACACAGCATTAGACTAGCTCCTGTTGGTGTCATTAATCTGGCAACCCGTGCTTGCGTTTGTTTTGATCCAGGAATGCAATACCTAGTCCAACCACTGGTCAAACTTACATACTGCACCTTAATGAACATAACTGGCAATGTAGAGCAGTGCAGTGTGCGGCTGTATAATTCACAAAAATAGCATTGCATTGGAGATATTTTTTTCAGACTACACTTTAACAGACAAGATTTCTTTTTATTAATCAGAGAGCTGTTTCACTTCTTCACAATAGGAAGAAAACACCATTGAAACGTGTTTAATTTGAGTTGAGGTAAATGCTTATACTGTTTTTTTGTGTGTGTGTGTTGTGGTCAGCCTGTGATCAGCTGGCTCTCGGTGTGGCCGCAGTGTTCGGGCCGTCCCACAGTTCTTCAGTGAGTGCGGTTCAGTCCATCTGCAATGCGCTGGAGGTTCCTCACATCCAGACCCGCTGGAAACACCCGTCCGTGGACAACAAAGACAGCTTTTACATCAACCTGTACCCGGATTACGCCTCCATCAGCCGCGCCGTGCTGGACATCGTGCAGTTCTACAAGTGGAAAGCCGTGACGGTGGTTTACGAGGACGCTACAGGTGCGTACACTCGTTACAGACGGGTCCAATACATTAAAAAAAAATTTAAATTAAATTAAATTAAGTTAAATTAAATTAAATTAAATTAGGCAACGCAGTGGCGCAGTAGGTAGTGCTGTCATCTGACAGCAAGAAGGTCGCTGATACGAGCCTCAGCTGAGTCAGTTAGCGTTTCTGTGTGGAGTTTGCATGTTCTCCCTGTGTTGGCATGGGTTTCCTTGGGGTGCTCTGGTTTCCCCCACAGTCCAAAGACATGCGGTATAGGTGAATTGGGCAGGCTATATTGTCCATAGTGTATGAGTGTGAATGAGTGTGTATGGATGTTTCCCAGAGATAGGTTGCAGCTGGAAGGGCATCCGCTGCGTAAAGCATATGCTGGATAAGTTGGAGGTTCATTCCGCTGTGGCGACTCCAGATTAATCAAGGGACTAAGCCGAAAAGAAAATGATTGAATTGAATTGAATTGAATTGAATTGAATTGAATTTAATTTAATTTAATTTAATTTAATTTAATTTAATTTAATTTAATTTAATTTAATTTAATTTAATTTAATTTAATTTAAAATTAGCTTTATTTGTGGAAAAAACTGGATAATTTTAAGCTTTTGTCAGCTAATTTCATCTACCGTGTTTAAAATTACTTGGGGCGGAATCAAAATCGGTGACTTTCGCAAAACTGCAAGTGGAGTGATGATGCGTCGGTTTCTCATTATTATTTAAAGCGGAGTTTTCTTATCCTATGAGAAGACCCTGCTTCTTAATTATTCATGATAGCGCGTGCTTTCCGAAGGCAAGACAGACCTGCCAGTGCCAAGCTGTGAGAAACCGTGTCCACATATCCACAGCACAAAGTATTTAGCTGTTAATAAAGGGTCGTATGTGTTTGTTTCCATGATCCACGGGGTTTGTTGCGTGTTTGTTCCCGCGATGCTGTCAGGGCCGATACAGCAAAGCTGTTTGTGTGCAGCAAGCATTTTTTTTCTGGGGGAGCTATACGAGAATTTGAGAATGGCGGACTTCGTCTTTTCGTTCACATTTAGACACATCGCCGTGCTGCTGTGTTCGCTTAAGTTCTCCAGATTACCAGCAGCAGGGCTCATGGTTGAAATAGGCAGGACAAGAGATTTATAGTGATTTATATTCCTCATTTATAGTGTTTATATAAACACGATTATCTTTACAATAGTATAAATTGTGGTTATCTGTATATGAAATTACGAATAACAAATGTCGCCGGGCAAAATTAAACTACTGTTCATTTCTTTGCATTTTAACTTTGTAAACTATAAAATCATGCGTCTCCTCACGGTTTGTGTCTCATTTTGTGAGCCGACAACAGTTGTTCGCTCACCTCACGTCCAATGAAACTTTTAATTGCGTAAAAAAAATTTTGTAGTGTAAAAAAAAAAATACATGAAAATTTTTAAATAATTTTTTTTTTAGAATATCCTCTATACTAGTTAAAAAAGCTAATTTTAGAAAGTTTTAATGGAATCAAGAACAGTTAATTTACTCCATTTCTATAAAAAACCTTTTCAAACTTTATTTTTTTTAATAGAGTGAATCTATTACAGAGCAATATGTTGAAAAATCGTCTCCTCGTATAGGTGTGGGTTTCCTCCAGGTGCTCCGGTTTCCTCCACAGTCCAAACACATGCGCTATAGGTGAATTTGGTAAACCAAATTGGCTGTAGTTCATGATTGTGTATGGGTGTTTCCCAGTACTGGGTTGCAACTGGAAAAGCATGCGCTGTGTAAAACATATGCTGGAATAGTTGGAGGTTCATTCTACTGTGGCGACCCCTAAAAAATAAACAACTAAGCCAGAGGAAAATGAATAAACATGTTGAAAAATGTGAACACTCAAGACTTTTAAATGCAGACTTTGGTTGTTAATCTCAGACTAACTTGTCAAAAAGTCTCTGTTATTTTAGTATCATTTGGACACAGTTTTATAGCATTTTTTTCGAATTGGTTACATTTTCTGCTATCATTTTAATTTCTCTAAAAGTTTTAGCAATTCTAATTTTATTTTAAATTGTTTTAAGTTGCCTTTTTTTTTACAAGTCAGTATAATAATAATAATAAAAAAAAAACAATAATAACAATGTCCCCCAATGATGGGTTGCAGCCAGAAGGGCGTTCGCTGCATAAAACATATACGCTGTAGCGCCCTCAGATTAATAAAGGGACTTAGCCGAAAAGAAAATGAATGAATGAATAACTAAAAATAATAATAAAAAGTTCACATAATAATAATAATAATGATAAAAAGGTCACATTTAAAGTATTATTTATTCCTCTGATATTAAGCCATATTTACTGCTATAGAAAGTTATTGTCATCAATCCTGAAAACCATTTCTCTAGTTCATATTTTTTGTGGAAATGCGCAATCATTTTTTTAAGGATTTTTGATGAACAAAGTTCAAAAGAATAGAGAAATTACTTATATCTATGTATTTTAAAGACAAGTAATTTTCTCTGCAAGTGGCTAAAACAAAGTGAGACTGTACAGAATATCATTGAATGTTTTTACAGGCTACATGTTTATATTTATGTGGAGCATTCATTCATTCGTTCATTCATTTTCTTTTCGGCTTAGTCCCTTTATAAATCTGGGGTCACCACAGTGGAATGAACCGCCAACTTATCCAGCATATGTTTTACGCAGTGGATGCCCTTCCAGCTGCAACCCATCTCTGGGACACATCCATACACACTGATTCACACTCATACACTACACACAATTTAGCTTACCCAATTCACCTATAGCGCATGTGTTTGGACTGTGGGGAAAACTGGAGCACCCGGAGGAAACCCACACAAACGCAGGGAGAACTTGCAAACTCCACAGCCGAGGCTCAAACCAGTGACCTTCTTGCTGTGAGGCGACAGCACTACCTACTGCGCCACTGCTTATGTTAAACATCATAAAGATTTTCTAAATGTGTGTGAATTTAGAAGCATCACCATCATTTCAGTGTATGTATTTCATATTTATCAGCCATGCAGCAAACACATGATAGCTGTTAGAATGAAAAGCATCCATAATTCATGCTTGAGCTCTGAATTTGACATTTTTGTGGAAACGGCTGTGGTTAATATTGACTTTGAGATCATATCTTAGATCATTTGTTTGCTGAAATGACATTTCTGTATTATTAATAAGATCAGGAGATGTGTCATTTTTCAATATTCCTGTTTGGTGGAAAAAAATGACTTGTGCAGTAATTTCCTGTTAAAGAGTGGAGAGAATTATAAATATACTGTAGCATTTAAAGGTAACACTTTACAATAAGGTTCATTAGTTAAAGGGGTGGTCCACTACGATATTATATTTTAAACTTCAGTTGATGTGTAATGTAGCTGTATGAACATAAACAGCATCTCTGAATGTAAAATATTCAAAGTTTAATGCAAAGGGTGACCTTGATTTGTACAGAGTTAGCTTAGCAACGCCTACAATTAACGAATTTTGGGGACTACAAAAAATACTTCCGCCCCCTGTGAGATCACAAAAGTTCGTTATTGCGCATCCCACACTGCGCAGGTAAAGGCCGTGGCCAGAGGCGCTGTAACGTTACTGCAGAGAGAGAAATGCCATCCTGCTGTTTCCACAGAGCTGTTCTGTTTCTGTTGTTGGGCTTCCAAATGACACGACCCAAACACAGAAGTGCTTACAGTTCAATATTAATTATGTTCCAGAGAACTATAAAATACATAGCAAGCATGATTTGACAAAACACAGCTTCCAGAATCTCTCCCAGTTCAGTGCTGGATTCAGTTAAAATCTCCTCAAAGATGGAGCAAGGAGACGCTGTGAACTCTGAGTCATGACCTGTAAGTGTTTTTATTTGTTAAAATTGATCATGACATGTACAGTGTCTAACTTTAACGGTGTGTTGTAGCAAAGATGTAAACAACGGGAAATTATGGTAACCGCTAACGACTTAGCTAACGTTACAAATCTATATTTATCAAACGGCTGTAAACGCACACACACACATACACATACACGCTCTCTTGGCCAGCACCTGCGTCTCTCTGTGGGAGACGGCAGAGTTTCTCTCTATAGGCAGCTTTGCTATGCGTTTTACAACTCGGACAATAAAGTCGCAAAAGATATGTGAACGATTCATGTTACTTACACAGGCATATTCCGCATATGCATGAAAGACGTCCTGTAACGCGTTGATTTAAAAAAAATACAGCAATGATTTCCCAACTGGAGTGTAACATCAAAAACAAATCAATCCAGGCTCACAAAGGTCTCATCTCACATCTTGTGCTTTATTCTGTCACCATAGAAAATAACTTAATCCGAGCATGAGAGAAAAAGAACAATAAAAATCTCTCCCGCGCACATGCGCTTCTCGTGTTACAGATACTTCATCGTATACACGCATAAACACACTAAAAGGCACAGAAACAGTTAAAGGAGCCGCATCCCATTTTCACTCGTTACAGACACGTGTTGACTGACTGACTGACTGACTGTTTACACAAAACGCGCGTGCTTGTCAGGGCGTGACGTGGAGCCGATCGGCGAATCACAGCATATTATGATGATGACCAATCAGAGTCACTTGAGGGTGGGCCTTTTAGAGAAACTAGGAAATATGACAGTCGTTTTCATGTTAGCTGAGTAGCTGTGTATAATCAAAGTGAGATTTATGAAAAAATAACACGATTTCCTTCAAGTTAAACATGAGCACACATTGCTTTGCATCTTATTAACACAACCAAGCCTTAAAAATAACATTCTGGACCACCCCTTTAAGGCCTTTACTAACATGAATCAATCATGAACAAGACATGTAAAGCATTTATTAATCATAATTAAACATTTACTAATGCATTATTAACATGCATTTATTAACATGAATAAATACTGTAGTAAATGTATTGTTCAGTGTTTGTTCATGTTAGTAAATGTATTACTTAACATTAACTAATGAACCTTATTGTAAAGTGTGACTCATTTAAAATGTTGTGAGTTAAGTGTGGGTTAAAGCTAAATTTCACGTTTTAAACAACCAAATTTTGGAGTTGGTAAAAAAGTTTCTTGGCTGCATTTATTTGATCAGAAGTGTAATCAAAACAATAATAAAAAACTAACACTTTTAATTAAAAAAAGTCTGTTTGTAAATGATTTCTATCATTTATATCATTATCAAAAATCTATTTTAATTTTAATTTTTTATTTTCATGTGATTAATTGCATCCAAAATATCTGTTTTACAAATTTTATGAGTGTGTATTGTGTATATTTATCATGTATATGTGCGTAAAAATATATATATATATATATTTAAGAATATGAGGTATATATGGCACAAATTATATATAAATTTAAATATATTTGTAACAATTTTTTTTATATAGTTCTGTTTCTGTGTGTGTGTATTACAAAAACATTATATATACACATACGCTCACCAGCCACTTTATTAGGTACACCTTACTAGTACAGGGTTGAACCCCCTTTTGCCTTCAGAACTGCCTTAATCCTTCATGGCATAGATTCAACAAGGTACTGAAAATATTCCTCAGAGATTTTGCTCCATATTGACATGATTGCATCACACAGTTGCTGCCGATTTGTCAGCTGCACATCCATGATGCAAATCTCCTGTTCCACCACATCCCAAAGGTGCTCTATTGGATTGAGATCTGGTGACTGTGGAGGCCTTTTGAGTACAGTGAACTTATTATCATGTTCAAGAAACCAGTCTGAGGTGATTCACACTTTATGATGGACATGGTCAACAACAATACTCATGTATGCTGTGGCATTGATGCGATCGTACTAATTGGTCAAAAGTGTGCCAAGAAAATATCCCCCACACCATTACACCACCACCACCAGCCTTAAGCGTTGATACAAGGCAGGATGGATCCATGCTGTCATGTTGTTGATGTCAAAATCCGACCCCACCATCCGCACGTCGCAGGAGAAATTTAGGCTCATCAGACCAGGCAATGTTTTTCCAATCTTCTATCGTTCAATTTTGGTGCTAATTGTAGCCTCAGCTTCTTGTTCTTAGCTGACAGGAGTGGCACCCGGTGTGGTCTTCTTCTGCTGTAGCCCATCTGTCTCAAGGTTGGACGTGTTGTGCATTCAGAGATGCTCTTCAGCAGACCTCGGTTGTTACTGTTGCCTTTCTATCAGCTCAAACCAGTCTGACCATTCTCCTCTGACCTCTGTCATCAACAAGGCATTTGCGCCCACATAATTGCTGCTCACTGGATATTTTCTCTTTTTTGGACCATTCTCTGTAAACCCTAGAGATGGTTATGTGTGAAAATCCCAATAGATCAGCAGTTTCTGTAAATACTGGGTGTACCTAATAAAGTGGCCGGCGAGTGTATATTATATTAATATAGACTTTTATTTTGCATGCAATTAATCTTGATTAATCTTTGCCCAGCACTAATTTTTTATTGTGATTTAAAACTGGATTTTCAGATTTATGTCACCTGATCCTTCAGAAATCAGTCTATGATTCAATCTTCCTACTTTATTTTATGTCACTCCGCTGCTCATCCGTTTGCACTGGCTGCCAGTTGCTGCTCGCATCAAATTCAAAGCTCTGATGTTTGCTTGCAAAGCGACCTCTGGCTTTGCTCCTTCTTATCTGCTCTCACTTCTGCAGATCTATGTGCCCTCCAGAAACTTGCGTTCAGTGAATGAACGTCGCCTCGTGGTTCCATCCCAAAGAGAGAAGCTATCACTTTCCCGAACTCTCGCGTTCTATCTGCCCAGTTGGTGAAATGAACTCCCTAACTGCATCAGAACGAGAGAGTCACTTGCTGTCTTCAAGAAACGAATAAAAACTCAACTTTCTAGTCTCCACTTTCCTTTCTAATCTGCAATTGTAATTCAACTAATGCTTTCCTTCTTAGACTTTACACACCTGAAACTTGCCTACAGCACTTATTCATTGTTGCTCTTAGAGTTGTGTAAATTGCTTCTTTGTCCTCATTTGTAAGTCGCTTTGGATAAAAGCGTCTGCTAAATGACTAAATGTAAATGTAATATTCTGATTTGATGATCAAGAAACATTTTATTATTATTATTATTATTGGTGTCACATTTATTCAGTTTTTTTATGATTATGATGATCATTGAAGAGTTCAAAAGAAGAACAATCTTTATGGTCCTTTTTATCATTTTGATGCACCCTTTGCAGAATAAAAGTGATACAAATTTGACCAAATTTTTTTTTTCCTCTCTAAAAAAGATATAGCATTGCTTATTATCTCTGTGTGATATTTTCAGGGCTCATTCGTCTTCAGGAGCTGATCAAGGCTCCGTCCCGGTACAGTATCAAGATCAAAATCCGCCAGTTACCGACGGGCAGTAAAGACGCTCGGCCGCTTCTGAAAGAGATGAAGAAGGGGAAGGAGTTTTGTGTCATCTTTGACTGCTCGTATCAAACGGCAGCAGACGTCCTCAAACAGGTAACATCAGTCACTAAAGCTTTTTAAAGTCACGTTCCGTTTAGGAATTCAAATTTGAATCAGCAAACGGAATGCTTATTAGGAATTCTCTGTTTAAATTTGTATTTGAAAACTCAAAAAAATGCTTTTTTGAATGTGATGTCTTGACAGATGACGTCTGATGACATATACTGAGATCATCAAATCCCATTTACTGTGTTACAGCAATAAAAAAAAATGCTAATCCCTAAACTAAATCCCCATCAAATGTGATCCATTTGATTGCTCTACTTTGTGCCTGTTGCTAAAAGACAAAGACATGCTCTATTTTCAATGTTTTGATTTTAGGGTCAAAGATTTTTGGGGTCTACATCAAACTTAACTGAGAAAAACAGGTTTATATGAATAGGAAGCTTGTCAAATCAAGTCAGGTTGAGCTTTATTATTATTCCGCTATATGTGTGGAACCAAATGTCGTGTGTCACAGGAATATGGTGCTAAAAATCTTAAATTAGCATAATTATTAATTATAAACACTGTGCGTAAGAGCTATTTTAAACCTACTGTATACAGTAACTAACATAATGGAGCAGTATTCTAACTGTATTTACTACTAACTATACATATACTACTTAAACTATACACATAATCTAAGACAGACTGTGCAGATACTTTTATTGTGTAAGATATTTTAATGTTAAAGAAAACAATTAGCCCAATGTGATTGTGTGGTACATTCGCAGGTAAACATGTAAGTGTGTGGTGCTTATAGAGAGAACAGTGTTTCCATGGGTGGTTTGTGAAACCCACTCACCTGCGTGAGGCACACTTCAGCAATGCGAGCAAAGAAAAGTGTCCACTTTAATGTTAAAAATGACTTGTAAATTGTCAAAATATGGGTGAAACAGATCATCTGCATTCAGGGTAACAGATACGTTTATGTAAAAATTAGGTAACATGTATTCTGAACTGTGCTTATTAAAATATTTAACAGAATATGTGATTGATTATATTAAATGCTATACTATTTTCAATATTAATTATGTTCAAATGGCTGATATTTAAGTCAGACCTAGTGGTTTATTGGTGAAGTATGAAGATTTCAAATGACAATTTTTAGATTGATTTTGTGCCTTGTGAGCCCTAAATTAACACTTTTAATGTTGCATCAAATGTGATGAATAAATATATTTATATAGATTTTTTTTGTATATATACTTCAATGCCATTTAGTGGATCTCTTCTCTAAAACAGGGTAAAAAAATATATGAAATGCATTATTTTTTGCTTGAAAAAAGGTCAAATTAAACAGAACGCACAATTAAAACTTTATTACAACTTGATTGATTTTTTATTAACATAAATGAGACAAAAAATAGCATGTACTGTACTTACATTTAAAGGTATCATTTAATACCATATTAGGGTGCACTCACACTATGTACAGTTGCCCCAAACCGGGCCAAAGCACGCTTGTCCCCCCTCCCGTCTCCCCAGACGGCCCGCACTCACATTACAATCGGGCACGCTAACCTGATCGATGCTGCGCTGTTCAGTAAGCGCTCTCACTCAGCACAGTGGAGTTTTCTCCAGTTATGTCGCTTTTAGTCCTTAGGGATGCGGTGACATGCAGTCAGATATTTCGCCGTGCAGATCAGACACTTTTGACGCTCATAAACAGTCATAAAGTCCTCGTGCTGCAGGAATTCTGAGGTTTGCTGAAGGCGCGCAGCTGTCATGCAGTGAGAGGTTTGCGTATTTAATAAACTACGGCAGTTTGCGTTCACTTAACAGTAAGAATGATTAATAAATCCATTTGAAACAGTCCCTTTAAAGTCACGTCTCGCTTTCAGTTTTAGGCTTTGGCGTGTTTTGCACTCACACTACAAAGGCCAAGTGAACCGCGCCAGGGCCGGCCAAGTGAACTGTGCCTGAGCCTGATTCAGCGTACTCACACTTCTCAAACGATCCGGGAAACGGGCCTGGGCACGTTACAAATAGAATAGTACGAGTAGGCCCCAAGTCACCTTAAATGGCTTCCTGTGTTACTTTCTTCCGGATTCAAATCATAAGCCAACAGTTAAACAGTTGAGCGTGCATCTTTTAAACTTTAGATCTGGAGTGTTCGCTTTTTGCTGGCTGTAGGTGGGCGGAGTAATACACAAAGGGTAAAGAGGCTGTAGGAGTTCTGATATTGCAGAATATTGCACGGCTATCAGACAATCAGATTTAAACCAGACAGAACTGTTGTATAAATAAATATATATAAATATATATACACTTTTGTGAGGTAAAAAAAAAAAAATGAAAAGGGAAAAGGGGGACCCTTGGATTTGCTATAGCCCAAGTGTTCTTAATCCGGCCCTGTATACACTGTACTTATTATTTGATGCAAGAAACAGTTAAGGCTACTAATATAAAAGCAAGTCAAAGTAAGTTTATTTATATAGCACATTTTGTACACCATAGTAATTCAAAGAGCTTTACATAAACAAGAATAATAGAAACATAAGAGCAGTTCCATGCAAATGTCAACCTTGCCATCAAAATTTTTTACAGTACTGTAAAAAATACTCAATAATGTCTCTGTCAATGCTCTCAAACAATTATATTTGATTTACTAAAGTCACACAAGCGCTGATTTCACATCTGTCACATCTAAAACGGAGAGGCGTCATATCCATAATGAAGCTTTTTTCTCTGGAATGCAAAAATGTAAACTAAATTAAAATCAATCGTTTTTGTTCTACAGTGATCCAACTCTTATCCTTTTGATTAGCTTCATTTCTTTTGGGTTGTGCAGTTTAATTCGCAGTATTTCTACAAAGTATGTTGTATACTGTAAACTGGCATACTTTTATACTCACACGTGTTGTTTTCCCTAATTTAAAATATGTTTACATATTGATATTTTTCTGATCCCATGACTCTGTGGTTAGTTGTTTTTGAAACTATCAACATATGTTTCAATATAAAGTTAACATATACTTTCTAAGGGAATTTTAAGATGTTACTGCAAACGTCACATCCATAACACTGCATTTGCTCATAAAGTACAACAAATAAAAATGATTCAAAACAGAACACAAAATAAATATGATGAAAAACATGTTAAAAAGGAATGGGGGGGGGGGGGGGGGGGGTAAGAAAAAGGATAATAAAATTGGCTGAAAAGGGGATAATTATTTGTAATATTTGATATTTGTTTATAATAAGAGTGATGCAATGCAGCATTTTCATATGGAAGCATATGAGTAGCATAATTCAATTCAAAATGTAATATGCAAAATGGCAATGCAATATGTTAAATGGCAATGTATTTCTGTATTTAAATTTGCATTTTCCAAGACATATGAGCAATGTGTCTTGGACTGCGTGCGCGAATATCAAACCTAAGACCAACTTTACTGAGCTAGGAGGTGATTGGTTTTCTATAGTATTTCCCAGTTCACGCTCGAGGGCTCGTGCAGCTTTACGAAGCCGCTGAGGAACAGACTTCGCCATGTTTATGCTGCCAAATGTCCCAAATAGTCCTCACTGCAGCTGTGACGACATAACCTAAAACCCGCCTTGCAGCATTGGTGGCCGTCTGTGGGCGTGGCCAGGCCAGAATGCATTTTCAATTTCAAATCGGCTTTCATTCATCACGATGTATTAAATGAAAATGGAATATGTTTTTTTTCATTTTCACTTTCATTTTGCAGCAAATATTGCACATATGTCTTGGAAAATGCTAACTGAAATACAGAAATACACTGCCATTTACATAATACATTATCGTTTTGCGTATTACATTTCAAAATTAATTTTGCTACACACATCCCATGCTGTCATGCTGAAAATGTAATCCTGCGTTTCCTAGACGCCAGTGTAAATGCATTTAGGACAAATAACATTTAAATGATCATTTTGCTACAGTTTCTGCTTGTACTTTATTCACATCAAATTCAGTTTGTGTATAGCATTTTCAATTTAATTTTGCTACTTATAAAGCTTTAAAATGTGGATACAATTGACATATTAAAACAGTGTTTGAAATGAGAAATGCAAACATTGTAATTTAACTTACATTTTCATTCTGCACCAAACATTGCTCATATGTCTTGGAAATGCAAATTCAAATACAGAAATACATTGCCATTTAACATATTGCATTGCCATTTTGCATATTACATTTTGAATTGAATTATGCTACTCATATGCTTCCATATTTTCATGCTCTTGTGTCTGTGTTTGTGCTATAGCTGTTGTCAATGGGCATGATGACCGAATACTACCACTTCTTCTTTACCACTCTGGTAAGTTTCCTATATTCTGTCTTTGTGTGTTTGTCCACAAGTTTTTATATCCCAGTGGGGGACTTAAAATCGAATGGCGTCATGGCGGTCTAAATTGTTGCATGAAAATGTATCTTATGTGACAGGATCTGTATTCGCTGGACCTGGAGCCGTTTCGATACAGTGGTGTGAACATGACTGGTTTCCGTCTGCTCAACATCGACAATCCTCAGGTGGCGTCAGTGGTGGAGAAATGGTCCATGGAGAGACTGCAGGCTCCACCCAAACCTGAGACCGGCCTGCAGGATGGAATGATGACAGTCTGTTTATCCTATAAATATATACACTATCACATTACATAAAGAGAATTAGGGCTGGGCGATATGACAAAACATCTAATTTCAGGATAGAAGTCATCTCATATCCTGATCACGATATACTGTAGCACAATTTCTGTAAATTCAATTAGTTAATAGTTTACATAGATTTACCACATGTAAGGGACTGTACACTCACCGGCCACTTTATTAGGTACACCGTACTATTACCAGATTGGACCCCCTTTTGCCTTCAGAACTGCCTTAATCCTTAGATTCAGCAAGGTACTGGAAATATTCCTCAGAGATTTCGGTCTATATTGATATGATGGCATCCCACAGTTGCAGCAGATTTGTCATTTGCACATCCATGATGCAAATCTCTTATTCCACCACATCCCAAAGGTGCTTCATTGGATTGAGATCTGGTGACTGTGGAGACCATTTGATTACAGTGAACTCATTGTCATGTTCAAGAAACCAGTCTGAGATGATTCGTGCTTCATGAAATGGCGTGTTATCCACTGTGGTCATAAAGGGATGGACATGGTCAGCAACAATACTCAGGTCGGCTGTGGCGTTGACACAATGCTCAATTGGTACTAATGGGCCCAAAGCATGCCAAGAAAATATCCCTTACACCATTACACCACTACTACCAGCCTGAATTGTTGATACAAGGCAGGCTTTCATGGTGTTGACCCTACCATCCGAATGTCGCAGCAGAAATCGAGACTCATCAGACCAGGCAATGCTTTTCCAATCTTCTATTGGTGAGCCAATGCGAATTGTAGCCTCAGTTTACTGTTATTAGTCTCTTATATCACTTTTTCCCCATACTGATGCTCAGTTTGAACTACAGAAAACCGTCTTGGCCATGCCCACATGCCTAAATGCATTGAGTTGCTGCCATGTGATTGGCTGATTTAAAATTTGCAAAAACAGGTGTACCTAATAAAGTGGCCGGTGAGTGTATGTATTTTTTAATTATACATTAGAAATGTACCCATTCGTATGTATTCGATTAAACAAATATTAATAAATTAAAACAAAAACACTTTAAAAATATGATTGCAGGTCATGACAATATAAAAATAATAAAACAAAAATGTAGCTAATTGAACCACTTTCAATATCGCAACTTTCACACATTACTATTATTCGAGTTTCTTTCTGCATCCCTATAATGGCGTGTAATCTTGTGCATATGTAAATTTTCTAAAAAAAAGTCAAACCATAAACCATGTATTATGTGACACTACAACATGAACAGTCGAGCGTAATATTAAAACAATAGACTTTGTCTATATGATAAATATATTTATGATCAAACTGCACAGCACTATTGAAAATTATAAGCAGAGTTCGTTAGTTATCAAACACTGCTTTACAGAACACAACAGTGCCATTAGTCAGTTCAATGATTCAGTTCAGATCAATAATTATTGATGTTGATCATTTCATCGATTTTTAAAACAAAGATGCAGCAAAGTCACTTTATGAGACATTATATGTTCAGTTCTGTTCATGTTTATTCTTTTCATGCTCTCAGTGCAGTCAGATTAATTACTTTTCCGATAATGAAGTGTTTTTTAAACCTACAATTGAATCAGAAACAAGTGAGTCATTGCATATTCAGAGAATCAAGAAAAATAATAAACAATAAAGCATAATATGAAATGATTGGCTTTTTATTTTGCCCATGCAATATATTTTGTCATATTGCACAGACCTATAGAGAATCATTTTCACAGTTCATTTGTCATCAAGCACACTCAATTTAACTCAAAAAGCATCTCTACGGAACACAACAGTATTAGCTAGTTGCTTCAATGTTGATTCAGTTCAGATCAATAAATATTGATGTTGATCATTTCATCGATTTTTAAAACAAAGATGCAGCAAAGTCGCTCTGAAACAATATACATTCAGTTCTGCTCATGTTTATGTTTTTATGATGTCAGTGCAGTCAGATTAATTACTTTTCTGGTAATGAAGTGTTTTTTGAGGCTAGAATTGAATCAGAAACAAGTGAGTCATTGCATATTCAGAGAATTAAGAATGATAAATGATAAAGCATAATATGAAATGATAGGCTTCTTATTTTGCCCATGCAATATATATTTTCATATTGCACAGCCCTATAGAGAATCATACCTACGGTTTTATGTTGATTCAGTTCAGATCAATAAGTGTTGATATCGCAAATGTCATCCATTTCAAAACAAATATGCAATAAACTTAAAGCAGCTCTGTAGCCCTGTTCAGTGCTGGAAGATTGATAACATTTCTCAAAATTAAGTGTTTATTTTGAGCCTAGATCTGAACCAGAAACATAGAATCAACATGAAAGTCATGAAACAAACTCAATTTAACCCAAAAAGCAGCCCTAATAGCTAGTTGGTTCAATGTTGATTCAGTTCAGTTCAATAAGTGTTGATATTTGAAAAAATGTATCCAACTAAATAGCCCTACAAGATGTTGTGTAACTCATTTAAATATGAATTTGAATATAAATATAGCCTAAAAGCAAATGAGATTGAGTCATTGATTTGGTTTAACAGAATCACCTAGTGTGTTTCATGTATTGTAAATCTGTGTGTGTGTGTGTGTGTGTGTTTCAGACTGAAGCAGCTCTGATGTATGACGCAGTGTATATGGTGGCGGCTGCGTCTCAACGAGCGTCTCAGATCACCGTCAGCTCACTGCAGTGTCACAGACACAAACCCTGGCGATTCGGCTCGCGATTCATCAGCATGTTTAAAGAGGTGAATAAAACCTGCTTATACAGTCAACATGATGACAATTACTCTTATATGCTGCTGTTGAGAAATGTTAGGGTTATTCAACCAAATATTAATTTCAGTACCCTTCTGGGAGTACAACATTACACCAGGGATGCCCAACTTTGTAACAGTTTAGCTCCAACTTCCTTCAACACACCTGCCTGTAAGTTTCTAGTATACCTACAAAGAGCTTGATTAGCTGGTTCAGTTGTGTTTGATTAGGGTTAAAATTCTAAATATGCAGGCCACCGGCTCTCTAGGACACCTTTGCATTACACCGTGTCCCAGATACATCCCTTTTCCATGTTAAAAGGAGTTTTTGTCCTAACCATTTGTGATGGCGATGCTAAGTTTTTATTTTAGAAATGGTTTCTATTTCAGCGACGCCACAATAGAACACCAGTATATATTACTAAGACAATGATCCAACCCAGGCTCATCCTGAAAACATAGTCCCGTGGACTTTTCTGGAGACTGTGAATTATGTAGCTGGAGGTATGTATGGCTGCATTTTATTTTTTAAGTGAACGCTATGGGACGGTATGACATTGTTCCTTTTCATGCTTAATGTGTGACTACGTTGTGGAGGCTTTTCCCGCCGCAACCAGTTTGTCCAGTTAGCGCGTTGTGTACGTCGGCGGACTTGAGACGCAGAGAGGAGCTGACCACGGCGACGACGATGACCTGATTCGAGTCCGGGGAAGAGCGGTTTCAGAAATCAGGACAAAAACAGAATCCAAAAAAATAAAGTGAACAAGTAAATAACAGGGTGAGAATGTGGTGAAATCCGAAAAAACGTGGTAAAAATCAGACGAGGGCTTTTCTTTTTCTGGACGGCTTTTGTAAATTGTTGGTTGGGTTTAGGGAAGTAAGCAGGTGGGTGGGTCAATCGGTTAAACTTGTTGGGTTTAGGCAAGGAGAAGGATGGGTCAGTCGATTGGCCGGTCGCCCAGTCAATCGTTCAGTCAGTCAGACAGACAGTCGTTCGACAGCGGCCTCTGGTGGGTTTATGCGAGAACAACGCAGATGCGAGAGACATTTGAGATATGAAAAAGCGCACACAGCGGCCTCTCGTGGATTCGCGAAAAACAAAAACTGCAAAAATACGTACCTCCCGGAATGTGTTGCGCAGACTCCAGAAACGTCCACGGGACTACGTTTTCAGAATAAGCTGGGTTGCTAAGATCACCTCAGGTACAGATTATGTACTTTATTCAGTGTTAAATGCTCCCAATGTGAGTTTGAACACCATTTTACAAGACATTCATTTATTTTTATTATATTTATTAATTTGGTCACGCAGTGGCGCAGTAAGTAGTGCTGTCGCCTCAAAGCAAGAAGGTGGCTAGTTTGAGCCTCGGCTGGGCTAGTTGGCTTTTCTGTGTGGAGTTTGCATGTTCTCCCTGCGTTTGCATGGGTTTCCTCTGGGTGCTCCGATTTCCCCCACAGTCCAAAGACATGGTACAGGTGAATTGGGTAGGCTAAATTGTTCGTAGTGTATATGTGTGTAAATGAGTGTGTATGTGTTTCCCAGTGATGGGTTGCAGCTGTGATTAATAAAGGGACTAAGCCGAAAAGAAAATTAATGAATAAATATTTATTATATAATTATATTACTAATTGTTAATTATAATATTTATTTAATTATATTTTATGGTTATTAAATGTTTCTGTCATAAAATAAATATAAATGTCTGAAAACATGACACCTTTTAAGTTATTCTATGCCAAAAAAAATATTTAAATGACATTTTACTTTAAAATATGGAGGAAAAATCATAATTTACAGAAGTAAACAAAAATAATATATACTTCTTACAATTTTTAGACTTTTGTAACATCCATATTGGGAAAAAAATGGGAGCTTAGAAAACAGCCGTGTTAAAAAAGTGGACAGGCACTAATGCACGCTATAGAAAATCACAGTCATCCAACCATGCAGTCAATTCCCGGAAAACAAAGTCAAGCCCCAGCACATATTTGTTCTCATTTGAGAAGATTTTGAGAAGATATATTCCCTTCAATCAAATACAACTTCTTTCACAACAACTTAAACAGGTCATTTAGCATAAAATAAAATAAAAATCTTTAATTTTCTCATCTGGTGCTTATTGATTGACATGAATAAATGATGACAGAATTATGATGTAATCTTTTAAACCATCAAACACTCGCTGATGGAGAATTCAGTCTGTTTAGACAAAATGCATCATTTCTCACTCCTCTGGAAGCTCTTCAAATCAGTTGCACATGATTTATGTACAGACAATCTGTGTGTGTGTGTGTCTGTCTCTCTTTCTTTCTGCTTGTGACATCTTCCGAGTGTTCTTGTCAGGGCTCTTCTGTTCTGGAGCTGTTGTTGTTGATTCAGCATTTTGGTCTTGCAGTCTGGAGGATGAATCTGTGTTGGATCATATCTTAATGGCTCTTGCTGCATTACTGATGCTGAGCTCCTGTGGCTCTGCTTGTTTTCCGTACAGTATGAACTAGTGATGGCTGCGTTCGAAACACTGCTTAATGAAGCTCAGAAACTTTTGCGAATCTTCTGTTTTGAATTAGTGGTTTGGAGCATGTGTCAAATTTTTATGGTCACATGATTACATAAATCTCAGAAATGAGTTCAAAGTTCAGCGATTCACCTCTGGAGGCGATCTGTGTAATAAAATAGTGCCATTCACTCAGAACAGCCCCTCAGTGGAGAATCGCTGAACAGGTTTCATTGTTTTTATTTGATCTCTGATCACTTTATTGAGACATTTGTAAAAAGAAAAAGGATTACATCAGTTACTTAATAGTTCTGTTTAGCATAGCACACAATAGGAGAAACAATTTTAGGCCATTTCCACATGTACATGTAGTTTTTCCCACATTTGTTTAAAAAAAAACGTTGGAGGAAAGTCCTTAACCCAGGTGGTGGAGTTCAAGTATCTCGGGGTTTTGTTCAAGAGGAAAGGATGGGGCATGAGATTGACAGGTGGAGTGGTGCAGCAGTAATTTGGTCAATGTACTGGTCCATTGTGGTACAGAAGGAGCTGAGCTAAAAGGCAAAGCTCTCGATTTACCGGTCAATCTATCTTCCTACTCTCGCTTAAAGTCATGAGCTTTGAATCACAACCGAAAGGACAAGATCTCAGATACAAGCGGTCGAAATGAGTTTTCTTCATAGGGTAGCAGGGCGCACCCTTATAGACAGCGCCGGACCAAGCTGAACTGCCGCTCTAGGCAGAGGACAATCACACCGCCCTCAACCCCAATGTGAAAACAAAAGTGACCGGTTATGAAAATGAAGTGAGGTGTCGTGGACTTCTTTTCCAGCGCACTATGCGCGGATATAACTGAGGTCATGCGGGTGCCGAGGGAGGGAGAGAGGTGTCGCAGACACTACGCTCTCTATTCTGCCACCCTATGCGCGGATATAACTGAGGACACGCGGATGCTGAAGTAGGTGTCGCTGATGCCGCCCTCTCTATTCTGTCGTCTATGCGCGAATGTATCTGAGGACGCGGGTGGTTAGGGAGGTGTCGCGGACGCCGCCCTCTGTATACTACTGCCATAGGCGGCCGCCTAGGTCGCCTCTATGGACGCACCGGCCCTGCTTATAGATAGAATGAGGAGCTCTGACACCCGGGAAGAGCTTAGAGTAGAGCCGCTGTACTTCCACATTGAGAGAAGTCAGCTGAGGTAGCTCGAGCATCTGTTTTGGATGCCTCCTGAACCTCTACCTAGGGAGGTATTCCAGGCAAGTTCCATCGGTAGGAGGCCTCGGGGAAGACCCAGAACACGCTGGAGGGACTTTGGCCCCGTTTACACTAGTGCATTTTAGTTTACCCAGCGTTTCTGAACAGCTCTCTGTTTAGATTAAAACGGAGAAAACGCACATCACGTGACCACACACACAAACAAACACACACTCTGGCATGCGCTCCAGCGTGCTTTGAGCACATACCCATATGAGAGCTGTGCACGTCGGACTGTTCATCAAGCATCTCCCGCTGGATCTAATCTCACTATATTTGTTAAACGTGATATATAATTCATCTTGTTGTCTATATCTAACAACATATTAGTCCCTGACGTTTTTCTTTTGAATCTATTACTTGTTCTCAGGTAATGTGTTTTGGCTGAGCGCAAGTATAAGTTAGGTTAATATCTTAATTAATGTTACCGCGGACACCGATTCTGCACAATTGACTGATTGCTTGCCTTTTTTTTCTTTATTGTATGAACGTTATACTTTAATATACGTTAATATACGTAAATATACTTTTAAAATGGCCATTATTGATTATTAAAACTGGTATTCAGTGAAAGAGAGGGTATGTTTCGTATTTTCAATGAAACAAAAGGAGTCAGTAATGTTATAGGCTCAGTTTTGTTATAAATATGCATGAAGATGACGCTCATACTATGCAGCTACACGGCGCCTCAACATTTTTGATGTCTGTTAAGTTGCTAATATCAAAATGAAAAAAGCAGTTCCTTAAATCATGTTTTCAGTTTATGGTTAAGACAATGAAACAGCATAGCTAGGGTGAGGTGAATAACTTTATAAATGACACTCGAGAGTTTGTTTTCCATATCAAATTTGCGAAGTCTGAACTTACACGGAGAGGACGCGAGACTGAACTGTGTGTGTGTAGGCTACTTAATATTGAAGAAAAAATCAACAATCAGAGATGCGAATGTGGCGCAAGGCACGGCGCAATAGTCTTTTGGTAGTTTCAGCTTGGCGCAAGAGTCGTTTTGAGGTGTTGCGCTACGCTGTTTAAATAGCAAATGCATTAGCGCTCATTTGTGCGCCCATAGGCGTTCTGGTCTAAAAAGGAAGGCGTTCTGAGGCGGACCACTGGCGCGTCGCTATTTTGAGAAACTATAATAGATTTTTCATTAGATAAAAACTAACCCGGTCTAAACTCCAGCGCAGAGTTGCGCCTCGCTTACACACTGCTTAATACACACAAGAGGAATAGGCAAATATCTTTACATATGAAAAAATTTTAATATCAAGGATATATATATATATATATATATATATATATATATATATATATATATATATATATATATATATATATATATATATATATATATATATATAGAATATAATAAGAATAGATATAGGATATAAATATAAAGGATTAAAATATTACAAAACATTATTTTCTAGCCTACATAAATTTGAAAAATCACTGCTTTTATGTCTTCTTCATCTCGGGAGGCTTTTTCAGTTCATTCATGACAATTTGCTTTTGTATAATGTTATTATTATTAGCAGTATTATTTATTATATCCATATTTATATTGTTTTATTAAAAACAAGCTTAGATTTGTCCACCCGTCAGGTTTTAGACCATATAGGGCACAGCATGTGTTTTAGAATATAACTCAGGTTTTTGAGCACACTTCATTATTATTGTTCATTTATTCGTTTGCTGGAAATTAGAACTGAATTTAGAAATAGTTTTGAAACGAATATTTGCGCTTAACAAACAAAATTATTTATTTATAGACTAATTGATGTCTTTGCATAAAGGTTTCCTATCCAAGAGCGAAAGTGAAAGTAGATCCATTATCTCTCATTCTCACGCAGTAGATGCTCTGTTTAACTGTTTTCTGTTAAAAAAAACTGTTAACTGTTTGCTAGTGAAATGCTCATTTTTTCCACTTAGACTTACTTTACGTCCTGTAAATAGCGAATGCGCTCTTGGCGCGACGCAGCTGGCTCTTAAAGGTAATGGGAGATGAGACTCTAATTGGTTTATTCTCAAAACACACCTATAACTCATTAAGAAAATAAACTCAACCCTTTTAGACCATGCGCCATGGCGCAAAGCAGGTTTTCCCGTCCTTAAATCAACAAAAACGCGTTCTGACACGCCCTGAAAGCGTTTGCGCCCTGCGTTTTGCGCCCTGCGTTTTGCGCTCTGCGCATCGACCGTCAAAATAGAGCCCAGAGCGTTTCAATGCACTCCATTTTCGGGTCTCGAAAACTCTGGCATAGTGTGGACGTAGGGCATAACCGTTGCAAAACTTATGCGTTTTCAAACTAAAATGCATTGGTGTAAACGGGGCCTATCTCTCTCGGCTGGCCTGGGAACGCCTCAGGTTCATTCTTATGTGGCGACCCTTGATAAATAAGGGACTAAGCTGGAGGAAAATGAATGAATGGAAACAGTCTGCAAGCTGACTCTATGAGACAAAAATTCTGTGACCTGTAACCGGACTTTCAGAATATCTTCGCCCTGGCTGGAGTTTTGGTTTCAGTCACCTAATACTGCATTTACATGTGAATGAATGGACATAGGTTTCGAAATGTGCATTTTGAAAATAACAGTGTTAGTGTGGAGAGAGCCTTAGTTTGAATTTTTATTTTAGATCACCAAAAAAAGGATTGTAATAATTGCAGCTCACCACAACAGATGCGAAAGCTTTTTGACACTTTGCATTGTTAGTGAGCACATCTCTGAAATAATGATGTGTTGATTCCAGGGCTGGTGCGTTTAATCGGTAATCGGTAACTAGAGCTCGCTGTACAGTACATGTGATCTTGAGCCGGACGTGATAAAACTGATGGATCAAGTGAGATTTATACTAAAGAATATTAACTGGAACAAATCCGAACCAAGGTCACGTGACCTCAGTGTGAAGATCTTGAAGATTTCCACTACTGTATGTGAAGATTATGAACGCTACCAACCCCGTTTTAATTCTTACGAGGAGCAAATTAAAGAAATAATCCAGCGGCTTTGCTCACAAGGCTTTATTGGGCATCTGTTGAATCCACTGGGTCTCATAAACGCTCATGATCTGGGTGAAAGTTCATCTGAATCATGTGTTGGACAGGACCATTACTGATTTTGGCTTTTGTTCAGACAGAATTCATTCATTTATTGTGTGAGGTTAATTATAGACTCCATTTACCAGCAAAATCGAGCTCTTGTTCTGGCCTTTTGGGTGAGGCCATGTAAGTATCAGCCACCCATTAGCCATCAGAAGAGGGGTACGCTTTACTCAATTGGTACTAATGGGCCCAACGTGTGCCAAGAAAATATCCCCCACACCATTACACCAGCCGCAACCGTTAATACAAGGCAGGATGGATCCATGCTTTCATGCTGTTGATGCCAAATTCTGACCCTACCATCCGGATGTTGCAGCAGAAATTGAGACTCATCAGACCAGGCAACGTTTTTCCAATCTTCTTTTGTACAATCTTGGTGAGCCTGAGTGAATTGTAGCCTCAGTTTCTTGTTCTTACCTGACAGGAGTGGCACCTGGTGTGGTCTTCTGCTACTGTAGCCCATCTGGCTCAAGTTTGGACATGTTGTGCGTTCAGAGATGCTCTTTTAAGCTTTTCACTCATCATAGCACAAGTGCTGCTCATGATGTGACAATAAAAGTGATTTGATTATGCAGACCTCGATTGTAACAAGTGTTTTTTGATTTACTGTTGCCTTTCTATCAGCTGGGACCAGTCTAGCCATTCTCATCTGACCTCTATCATCAACAAGGCATTTGCCCGCACAGAACTGTCGCTCACTGGGTATTTTCTCTTTGTCTGACTATTCTTTGTAAACCCTAGAGATGGTTGTGCGTGAAAATCCTAGTAGATCAGCAGTTTCTGAAATACTCAGACCAGCCCATCTGGAACCAACAACCATGCCACGTTCAAAGACACTTAAATCTCCCCCATTCTGATGCTCAGTTTGAACTGCAGCAGATTGTCTTGACCACGTCTACATGACTAAATGCATTGAGTTGCTGCCATGTGATTAACTGATTAGAAATTTGCGTTGACGCAATTGGACAGGTGTACCTAATAAAGTGGCCTGTGAGTGTACATCTCCTTTATTATATTTTATTACGTTGCATTTGCTTTTTTTTACATTTAATTTTACTTTACCTTTAAAACACTTTACCTTTGCCTGACTTTTTCTTTACATTTTGTTCACCTTTAATTTTACTTTACCTGCACTTTAATTCAGTTTGTCACTTTTATTTTACATTTACTTCACTTCTACTTTACTTTTCGTTCCATTTAAATTATCTTCGCCTTTATTTCACCTTTACTATTCTTTGCTCTGCCTTTTCTTCACCTTAACTTTACCTTTATCTTAACTTTGCTTCACTCTTCTCCTAAACTTTACTCGAATGCACTTCACTTTTGTTTTGTTTTGTTTGGCGATGATCCCAATGCTGCATCTGGCATCCAAACTAACACTGAAAAAACAGATGAGCACTGTGAGTTTGATCTATTAATGGAAAAAAACGTAACACTCCATTAATTTAATGTGTAATTGTGTTTTGTGTGCTCAGGCTCAGTGGAACGGTCTGACCGGTCAGATCATCATCAACAAAACAGACGGCCTGAGGAAAGACTTCGACCTGGACATCATCAGCCTGAAAGAGGACGGTTTGGAGAAGGTAAAAACAGCCCACGATCTCAGTTCCATCGTCTGCTTCTGTCTGATCATACATGTCAATGTGGCCTTTCTGTTTTCTCTTCACAAGCCGTTGGAGAGCGGCCGTTTTAACAAAGTGTGGAAGAAGGTTGGTATTAAACACTTAGAAATGTGACGTGTTGGTCCCTTCTCTCCTTCAAAAAGCACTGCTGATGAACTGTAGTACCATGGTAATGATTTCATGAGATATGCAGTTACCATGTGCATACCATTACCATGGTATATTTTTCATCTGTGCCCCTCAACCTGAAATTTAATTTAATTTAATTTAATTTAATTTAATTTTATTTTATTTTATTTTATTTTATTTTATTTTATTTTATTTTATTTTATTTTTATACATTTTTTAAAATTAATAAAATTTTATTAGAATTATTTTATTTGAATTTATTTTCTTTATTTTATTTTCTTTATTTAAATTTATTTGAATTTATTTTATTGAAATTATTTTATTATAAATTAATTAATTTTATTAGTCTTTATTTTATTTTTACCTATTTTAACTTATATGAAACCAATAATACTGTGTAACAACAAATGTAATTATAGTTGTATTTTTATTTAATTTACTATGATTTAACGTTAAATTTTACGTTACGTTAAATGTTAAAGACACACAAATATTACTAATATTTATGTATTCATTTGTTTATTTATTTGTTTATTTATTGAGTTTGTTTAAGTTCTCAATCAATAAATTTAAGTTTAAGTATGATGATTAAATAACAAACTAAACACAAAATATGTATCTAGTAATATTTTATATTAATTTAATAATAATTTTTATTAATTCCTAAATGAATAGTGTCAGAAATGTGATGTTAAAGTCCTTTGTTCCATGGATAAAAGCACATTAAAAATATGCAATGATTGAAAAAAAAGTATTTCATTTGCCAGATATCCATCCTAATGTGAAGCAAATCTTTTCCCTTCCAAAAAAACAAAAAAAATGTTAAATTACGAGTGTTTCCCTGAAGCTGTTAGAGCAGGTTGTGGTTAGATCAGATATGGTTGTGGCCGGAAGTTACCAAGAATTTTTTATAGTATTTATCAAATTTCCCATTTACTGTATTTTATTAACGTCTGCCTCTACCCTAAACCCAACCATCACCGTAACATAAAAATTATATTTGTACCTAAAGTTATTTGTTATTTAATAAATTACCCAACAAATTGTATTTTACTAATGCCTATCTGCACCCCAATGCTAAACCCAACCATAACAGTACTGTAAAAATATTCATTATTGTTATACAGTGTTACAAAAATGATGCTATATAGATGTGAGTATCCGCAGCTATACCATTAGAGCAGGTGACTGTAGTATTGACAACCTAGCAATCAAAAATAAACTAGCCAAGCATAATAACAACAGCTGATTTGTGAGAGCCACAGGTTAATTGTTTATTCACATCTAGATAGGAAATAAATAAAAATATGATACACCGAATGTGAAAAAATTGTACTAGGTAATTTGATATTTCATGTGGAACAAAATGTGATGATATTTCCGGCTATGACAGAGAGTTGTGTCATGGAAGAAGGAAGCAAAACTTTTTTTAATTGCTTAACATAGTTATTATTAAAATCTGTTTAAAATGACATACTGTATGTTTAATGTTTGCATCATCATAGTTTATTCAGCAAGTGTTTTCCCATCTCGCATTATTCATTAAAGTTCAAAGTTGCCTAAAAATGAGCATAAAAACTTTTTTAATATAGGATTTTTATTCAAAATTGGTCATTTCTGTCACTGGTTTCTTGTGTGATACTTTGTAATGGGCAATAACACAGGCTGACAGAAACCCAGCTTATGATGCTTTCTTTTTCCAATTTGTTTTTCATCAGCAGCTGGGTCACTTATACATTATACTTAATTCTGACATTCAATTACTGCTGCATTATATAAACTCAAAGGGAGAGTTCACCAAAAACAAAATTATGTTTACCCACTTTTTACTTACCCTCAAGTGGTTTCAAACCTTTGTGAGTTTTTCTTTCTAGCTGTTGAACAGTAATGTAGATACTTTGAAGAATGCTGAAAACTTGTAACCATTTACTTCTATAGTAGGAAAAACAACTACTATGGAGGTGTTTACAGCATTAATCAAACTACTGTATTTTCTTTTGTGTTTAACAGAAGATAGAAACTCAAATCGGATTGAAACAAGCAAATAAATAAATAGTGACAGAATTTTCTTTTTTTTAAAAATTAATTTAATTTTATTTAATTTTATTTTATTTATTCTATTTAAATTATTTGATTTTATTTTAAATTAATTAATTTTAATTTAATTTATTTTTTTACCTATTTTAACTCTGTAACAGCAAATGTATCATAGTTGTATTTTTATGTAATTTACTATGATTTAACGTTAAATTTTGATGAATAAATAACAAACTAGACACACAAATATTGCTAATATTTATTTATGTATTAATTCGTTTATTTATTTGTTAATTTATTTATTGATTGAGTTTATTAAAGTTCTCAATCAATAAATTTGAGTATGTTTAAGTTTATTTAAATATGATGATTAAATAACAAACTAAACACACAAAAAAAAAAAAAAAAATATATATATATATATATATATATATATATATATATTAGAATTTATATCAGAATTTAAATTTTTGGGTGAACTATCCCTTTAACAAATCACTTAAGCTTTTTAACACGTTGTCAAACTTTCCATTAGAGACAGCAGAAAGCTCTGCAGCCGTCTCACTTCCGTCAAAGAGTCAACAATGCAGAGCTCAACTGATAAAACATCTGCTTATGAACACTAATTACACAATAAGCTCTCAGTTTGAAGACTCTTAATGTATATATTAAAGGCTGTGCATGACAGAGGAGACGTGGTGTAGCATGTAAAACACACATACAGTATACACACACTGTCAGAGAGCTTGCACTTTGCATGAATATACTTTAGTGGATTTACATTAATGGTATGCAAACGTTGTTAGGGATGGACTTTTTGTACAATTATATATTTGACTAAATACTCAGAAATACAGCTGTTTCCAGTGATCTTTCTAGATTTATTTTGTTTACATTATTAAATTCATTGTTAGATCAAATCTGGATTTATTTTCCTAGATTTAAAGCGTAATTGTTGACTTTTTCCCCTTTGTCTTGTTTACCTAGTGTTTTTGCTATGACCCTTCCACTGGTGTGTAATTGTTGTGCAATGTTTATTTGTTTGTTTGATTTTATTTAAATAAATTGTAATATTGTAATAGTTGTAATAATTATTGTAATAAATAATATCGTTGTACATATTCTATAAATGTAAATGTACTGTATATAAATGTAGTTATTCAATAGCTTGATTAGTTTCTTGTTGTCTCAATTTTATATCTGCCGAGACAAACTCCTTTTAAATATCTTTAAGTGCAACACATTTACCTTTAAATAACATTTCTGATCATGTTTAAAAGTACTGCATCTCCATTTCCCCCATTAAATAACTAGTCAATTACTTCTGAAAGAAATCTGTCCTCTCTGATCAGCACCAGACTGATGGTGTATTTGTGTGTTTGTGTTTTTCTTCAGATTGGAGTGTGGAACTCAAACACGGGTCTGAATCTGACAGACAGCAACAAGGACAAAAACACCAACGTGACCGATTCCATGGCCAACCGAACGCTCATCGTCACCACAATCCTGGTACAAATCAGTCAACTAACATTAAATTCGCCATGAAATGGAAGTTAAGGAAGTCCTTTTTTCCTCTATCATGATGTACATCCGCTTAAAACCGTTCTGAAATTAGAAACATGTGTAGGCTGCATGATTTTATCCTTTGGGAATCGATTGTATTGTTGGAAGATGGGCAATGCTAAAAAAAAATGACTGATAGCACCATCCTAAATTACTGATAGCTCAGCATTAAATAGGTACTTCGACATGAAGCACAGCTGCAGTCGGTGATCAATGAGATTAGCCGAGCGCAGGCAGGGAGAGGAGTTGAAAACAGAGCCATCAAGCCGGACAGCTGGACACTTCGGGGCTCAAAGTTGCGGCAGTCATGATGACCGATCACTTGGCGTCATCATTATTTTTAATTTATTTTTTATTTATGCAACAAAAGATTTACAATTAAAACAAAATACAGTCTCTACAAACTGTAGTTCAGTTTAAACATTAAGGGAATTTTTAATTAAATATATTACAAACGCATGAGAGAAATAAGGGGAAACGAGAGGCTAATATCAACATAAAAATAGGCTATACGTCTTGTTTGAATATGCTAAAAAAGGGGTTTACATTTATTCACATATATAGATATAAAACTTTCCAATATATATTAAAGTAAAACCCAAAACAATGTGTTTTGATTAAGTCTTAAACAATGATTAAGATTATTTTGGATAATGAAAGAAGCATTTTCAAAAAAGTACTTTAATCCAAAAAGATTGAACAAAAGCACATTCCTAAAATAAGTGAGCTACACTTTAAGTAGAAGTTTCCCAAAAAGACCAGGTATATATATATATATATAATATTATTATAATTTTTATTTTATTTTTTCCCCAGAGATGGGTTGCGGCTGGAAGGGCATCCGCTGCGTAAAAACTTGCTGGATAAGTTGGCGGTTCATTCTGCTGTGGCGACCCTGGAATAATTAAGTTACTAAGCCGACAAGAAAATGAATTTATATATATATATATATATATATATATATATATGTGTATGTATATATTCAATATCTATATATATGTATATTTTATAATCCTAAAAATCATTTTAGAATTATTTAATAAAATAGTTCTTTAACTAAATTTGTTAAGAAACCTTTAGAGTGGCAGGATTAATGACGGTATTTATTTTATTACAAGTCTGTAAGACTTATTTGAGTTAATATTTAGGTTATTCACTAAAAAATATCATTTAAAACGTTCATGGAGCTAAATACAGTAAATAGTCTGTATAAAAAAAAACTGTGCAAGCCAGCCTTCATAACCATTTTATTTAACAAAACCTGATTACTGCAGTAAAATATTTGTAGTCTTAATAAGCATGATGTGTTTAAGATAGAGAGTGGATGATAAGTGAATTGTTTGTTTAGAAATTTGTGAATCGGAATTTGTCCAATATAATATACTCGAAACACACGTGGTTGTTGTCATACAGTGAACTCGGCCAATCATGTAATATCGGTGTCGTCATCAGACAGTCGTATGATCTCGGAGTACTGTCACGGTACTTTGATGCGGCATGTGACAGTCATAAGGCGTCAGCGCAACATTAATCCGGACAAAATTTCTATCCAGTATGCACCGTTTTAAGAGAGATTTTGATCAATCTGTGCAGCGCTGCATGAAGTCGAATGCACCTAATGACTCATAGCCCGCCCTAAAATACTGATAGCCATGCCCTAAATGACTGATAGCCTCGCCCTAAATGACTGATAGTCACACCCTAAGGGAGTAATAGCCCTGCCCCAATGACCGATAGCTCTGCCTTAAAGAAATGATAGTCCAGCATTAAATGACTAATAACCCCACCCTAAATGACTGATAGCACCACTCTAAAGGAGTGATTACCCCACCCTAAAGGACAGATAACCCTGCCCTAAAGGACTGATAGTCACGCCCTAAAGGACTGATAGCCCCACCCTAAAAGACAGACAGACAGACTGACAGACTGATAGACAGATAGATAGATAGATAGATAGATAGATAGATAGATATATATATAGATAGATAGATAGATAGATAGATAGATAGATAGATAGATAGATAGATAGATAGATAGATAGATAGATAGATAGATAGATAGATAGATAGATAGATAGATAGATAGATAGATAGATAGATAGATAGATAGATAGATAGATAGATAGATAGATAGATAGATAGATAGATAGATAGATGTTTATGTGGTGGCAGAGGGAAATTTTTTCAATGCAATATTCTAAAATGTACATATGAAATAGGTGGATGTAAATATATCTGGTGTTTGTGTGCTGCAGGAAAACCCGTATGTGATGTACAAGAAGTCGGATAAGCCATTGTATGGGAACGACCGCTTCGAGGGCTACTGTCTGGACCTGCTGAAGGAGCTCTCCAACATCCTGGGCTTCTCTTACGAGGTCAAACTCGTGACCGACGGAAAATACGGAGCCCAGAACGATAAAGGAGAGTGGAATGGCATGGTCCGAGAGCTCATCGATCATGTGAGTCTAACTTTTGAGCCTGTATTACACCGGAAATTGCTACTGTGGTGTGTAAATGATGTAGTGTTAGAAATTGCTCATGGTTGGGTTTGTATCACGGTTTTAGGGTCGTATATACCGTTGAAGTCAGAATTATTAGCCCTCCTGATTTATTAGCCCCCCCTGTATGTTTCTGTTTTATGGAGAGCAGATTTTTCCAACACATGTCTAATCATAATAGTTTTAATAATTCATTTCTAATAACTGATTTATTTTATCTTTGGCATGATGACAGTACATAATATTTGACTAGATATTTTTCAAGATACTAGTATTCAGTCTAAAGTGATATTTAAAGGTTTAATTAGGATAATTAGGCGAGTCATTTTTATTATAAATATAGCTTAAGTGGGCTAATAATATTGACCTAAAAATGGTTTTAAAAAATTCAAAGCTGCTTTTATTCTAGCCGAAATAAAACAAATAACACTTTTTTTTATAGGAAATACTGTGAAAAATGTCTTTCTCTGTTAAACATCATTTGGGAAATATTTTTAAAAATTCACAGGAGGGCAAATTATTTTGACTTCAACTGTATGTTCAGTAAAAAACAAACAAAAAAAACAAGAAAAATTTTAAAGCAAAAGCAGAAATGAATACAGTATAGCAAAGATGCTACTAAAATAAACAGTGCTTTACGCATTTTTTTTAGGTATCTAATAGTAGTTTTCAGGTACAGAAACTGAAAAATATAATCAACTATAACACTGCATACTGTATATAAACTTCACTTAAATTAAATGAAGGTTAAGCATAACTGAGTAAAAAAAAAACTGAAATAATTAATTAATAAATCTGTTATTTATTACAGTTATTTATTTACTAGACAGTAAAAATTTTACAGACATTTGCAACAAAAAACTAAATCTGATCGAAAGTATACAATAAACTTTTTAGACATATTTTAAAAATAAATATAGTTAAATTAAACTATAAAAAAATGTGTTGCTTGAAATAAAAATAATGTTTGTTAAATAACTCCACTTCTTTTGTTAATAAAAAAAGACATAAAAACAAAATAAACAAAAATGAATTAACAAAAACTCAGTTGGCGTTTCTGTGTGGAGTTTGCATGTTCTCCCTGCCTTCGCGTGGGTTTCCTCCGGGTGCTCCGGTTTCCCCCACAGTCCAAAGACATGCGGTACAGGTGAATTGGGTAGGCTAAATTGTACGTAGTGTATGAGTGTGTGTGTGTGAATGTGTGTGTGGATGTTTCCCAGAGATGGGTTGCTGCTGGAAGGGCATCCGCTGCGTAAAAGCTTGCTGGATAAGTTGGCGGTTCATTCCGCTGTGGCGACCTGGAATTAATAAAGGGACTAAGCCGACAAGAAAATGAAATGAAATGAATTAACAAAAAACTAATAACGATTAGTTTTTAGTAAATTTAGTAATCATTAAATCAGAACATTTTTTAAATATATAATAATAAAATCTAAAATAGTGTCTGAAATAGCAGTAAATGTGTGTAACTCAGGGTGTTGACCCTGTCTGTGTTGAGCTCAGGTGGCAGATCTGGCCGTGGCTCCGCTCACCATCACTTACGTTCGAGAGAAAGTCATCGATTTCTCCAAGCCCTTCATGACTCTGGGGATCTCCATTCTCTACCACAAACCCAACGGCACCAATCCAGGCGTTTTCTCCTTCCTGAACCCGCTTTCTCCAGACATCTGGATGTATGTTCTTCTGGCCTGCCTCGGGGTCAGCTGTGTGCTCTTCGTCATCGCCAGGTGAATGAATATTGTATTGTGCGACCCTACTTTGTGTTCAGTCGAAGAAAGAAGTGAGTTGAAGGAAGGAAGAACCAGATTTTCTTAAGTCTAATAAAACACATGTCATCCTAAATGTATGGCCAGTGTGATGGTCAATGGCTTTATTTCCAGTTAAGCAAGATTAGTTGTGTGGACAGCACATGTGAAACACAATAAAGAGATCAAGCGGCCAAAAAAACCAATACACCTGACTGATCCGAGCTCCCATGATGCATCACAAATGACGTGTCATTAAATAAAAGCAACAGAGCAATATCTTTTATTGATTTCTATTGAATGATTGATTTATGGATGTTTATTGTTAGTAGAAATACAGCTTTAGGTGTCTGTCTGACATTTAGTTGATGTGGTGTTAGTATAATAAATATTAGAGGCTTTATATTAGAAGTGCACAATCAATTTGTTATGATCCCAGTGTTGATGGTAAGATTAGGAAACATTATGATTTATTTCAGGGCCGCTGCTGGCCAAAAAGGTGCCCTAAGCGAAATTTTACTGTGGTGCCCACACTGAGGAGCAAAAACACACATGGACTCACACAAACATGTGTATTTAAACATATATATATATATTAATATATATATATATATATATATATTAGGGGTGTCACGATTTAAAAATTTATGCTCAATTTCGATTATCGAATCAAAAAATAGAATCGTCGATGCTGCCACGCCCTCATGTTACGTCAGCTTGGCTTGCCAAGCGGGAAAAAAACAGGCTTGTTGAAGTGCTTGTTAAACTGCAGAAGCAGGAGACCAGTCGAGAGAACTTAAACCCTCTCCTCTTTCAATGAAGTCGCCGGTGTGTAAGCATTTTGGATTTCCAGTGAGTTATGTTGACAACGTTCTTGTTGTCGACAAAAAAAAAAACACAGTTTTGCAAGCTCTGCTATGTACGTATTACGTACGATTCGTCTGATAGACAACACCGGCATCGCGATCCTCCGCCCGCCCCCGTTGCAAATCTGCTCGCGAAAAGTACACACTCAGGCCCTGTTTACACTGTCTTTGTTTTTAAATGGCATTTTAGAACGACAACGACTTGAACATACACAGTGGCGTGTAGCATTTCTGAGCAGCCCTCCTTCCTCTCTACCTCTGAAAATGCACATCACGTGACCACACAGACACAGACGCACATACAGCCATGCGCTCGAGACAGCAGGTCCAGGCAGTCAGAGGACTGCTTCAATCTTTCACTCACTTGTACTTAGTCATTTTAGCGAACACCTCAGATACTGTTGGCTGGTTCCTGTTGGTTGTGCGTCTTTTTTACCGACGCCATTATAACGACACAGATCACTGCCTATTCACGAGTCCCGCAGAAAAAAGTGATTGACAGGTGGTAATTATGTGTGTATCTTGCCTTTATTCATTTACTGTACGATTTGTTTATGGATAAAACAAAGACCATGCAGGTCAGGTAGTTTAAACGGTAGGCTACAAATAATTAATTGGTCATTAATTAATTAATTATTCATAATCGAAAATCGAATCGAATCGTGCCTTTAGAATCTAAAATGTAATCGAATCGAGAATTTGGAGGATCGTGACACCCTTTATATATATATATATATATATATATATATATATATATATATATATATATATATATATATATATATATTGTAGCACGCAGGCACGCAATGAGGAAAAATATACTGCTTGCATTAAAAAAGCGCTCATATTCTTGCGCAATAATAAGAAATATAATATAGATCGCGCCATCAAACACATGAAACCGAAAGTAACGACCGTGGTTTTAAAAATGTAAGAAGTAAAAGTAGTCAGAAAAATAAGCAGTGGAGGAAAGTACTGATACCAGAAAGATCTACTTAAGTATAGTAACAAAGTTCTTCCCATCTCTGTTCAGTTCCACTCAAGATCTCCATGACCTCTGACCTGGTTTGGTGGTTCCTGAAAATAGAATTACAAAGAGACAGACAAACGCATTCTTATTTGGTAACACTTTACAATAAGGTTCATTAGTTAATGCATTTACTAACATGAACTAATCATGAACAACACAGGTACAGCATTTATTAATCATAATTGAACATTTACTAATGCATTATTAACATTCAAGTCCATGCTTGTTAACATTAGTTAATGCACCATGAGTTAACATGAACTAACAATGAACTACTGTATTTTCATTAACTAACGTTTATTAACATGAATAAATACAGTATTAAATGTACTGTTCATTGTTTGTTCATGTTAGTAAATGCATTAATCAACATTAACTAATGAACCTTATTGTAAAGTGTGACCAAACATTCTTATATTACAATAATACAATACAATATAATATAATATAATACAATATTACAATAAACAATGTGTAAACTTTATTCATTAGTTAAAATCATTGATTAAATACTGATTCAAATAATCATATTAATAAAGTAATGAGAAAAAGCATAACTGTTGATCCATGCTGGGACGGATTGGAAGGCAGAAATCGGAAGCCATCAAAACACTTAAAATTATACTTAAATTCTTCTGAACTGGAAGAGCCCACACCCTCCTTCTCACTCTTGTTGGATAAGAAATGTTCTTTATTTTATGAAATTAGAAAAAATTAGGTACTCTCTTCACCGAACTAGCACATATTTATACGCAAATATGTCCAAACTCTTCAGCTTGACCCTGCTCCTTCTGATTGAGTCCCCACCCCCTAATGCCCAGCTTTTATGGGAAACTACTTCTGGTCAACACATTGTAGACTTGTTTTTTATATATATAAGATTGCACTAGTGTTGTTGTTTTTTATTTTATTTATCTATTTATTTTATTATCTTATTTTTATTTATTATTGTTTATTTATTTTTACTATTACTATTTGCTCAAAATACTCTTCAGTGTATTTGCTTATTGTTACATGTTTATGTCTTTGTAAATTTTTGTAATGTTTCACAATGTATAAATAAAACATTTAAAAAAAAAATTATACTTAAACGTTACAATTTTTACATTATGAAATAACCGTATACATCAAAATCTTTTTGATTAACTAATTTACTCATAATTTAAAATGAAATGTTTCAAATTTCAAATTACATTTAAAATGAAATGTTTTCCGGATTCATGGACATAGGTTACCTTAAAGTGATGCACAGGATTCATCTTGTGCTTTTTTCCTCTTCTCGGCTCCAGTAAGCTGTTGTCTTTTCTCGGGCTGTAGCTTGCATCAAGTATAATCATATGCTCATAGCAGCCGCAAGCGTTAAGTGGGCAGGGTCGCACGTATGCACGCACCGGAAAAAACTACGTCACATGTTTTTTGCGTTTGGCATAAAATGCATTTTTTTTATGTATTTATCAACATATTATCAATACATTTTTATTTACACTCAGTTTATGTTAATATTACTAAATAAATATGAATATATTTTTTGAGCAACCGACATGGTGCTCCCCTCTATAGTTGGTGCCCTACGCAACCTGCGTACTCTGCAGAACAAATAAGTGCAGAACTGGTTGTATATTGTGTGTATCGTGTGTGTTTCCTCAGGTTTACTCCGTACGAGTGGTATAATCCTCATCCGTGTAACCCAGACTCAGATGTGGTGGAGAATAACTTTACCCTGATCAACAGTGTGTGGTTCGGTGTTGGAGCTCTGATGCAGCAAGGTCAGCTTTTACACACATCATTGTTTCATACTCCAGAGGAAATGATTATTGTTTATTTAGATGCTCATTAGCCACTACCAGTTTAATTTAATTTAATTTAATTTAATTTAATTTAATTTAATTTAATTTAATTTAATTTAATTTAATTTAATTTAATTTAATTTAATTTAATTTAATTTAATTTAATTTAATTTTTCATTCATTCATTTTCTTTTCGGCTTTGTGCCTTTATTAATCAGGGGTTGCCACAGAGGAATGAACCGCTAACTTATCCAGCATATGTTTCACACAGCGGATGCCCTTCCAGCTGCAACTCAGCACTGGGAAACACCTATACACTCTCATTCACACACATACACTACGGACAATTTAGCTTACCCAATTCACCTATACTGCATGTCTTTGGACTTGTTGGGGAAACTAGAGCACCCCGAAGAAACCCATGCCAACATGAGGAGAACATGCAAACTCCACACAGAAATGCAAACTGACCCAGCCAGGGCTCGAACCAGTGACCTTCTTGCTGTGAGGCAATTTTGTTACCCACTGTGCCAATGTTACGCCTTTATTCGATTTTATTTTATTTTATTTTATTTTATTTTATTATTTTATTTATTTATTTAAAAAAATTATTTTATTTTATTTTATTATTTTATTTATTTATTTTTATTTATTTTTTATTTTATTTTAGTTTATTTTATTTTATTTAGTTTATTTACTTATTTTTATTTTATTTTTTGTCAATGTAATATTAACCATTCACACTGTTTTTTATTATTCATTAATTTGATATTTTATATTAGATAAAGATTATATTATTCTTTTGTAATATTATTACACCGTTATAATATTAGTGTAATAATATCAACTAATTTAAATTGTTTTGATTTGTTATATTACATTGTTTTATTTATTGTATAATTTATTATAATAATACAATAATAATATAATAACACATCTAATTTTTTATTATTTGATTGAATTGTTTATGAATTGTTTTAACACATTTTATGCTATTTATTCAATCTAAATAAATGTTTTTTTTTAGTAAATTGAACTGATTTTAAGCACACATAGAAATACACATTTTATGTGTAACAAGATAACAAGATAACCACAAAACAACTGAAAACATCTGATGAATATTTGCACGTTATTAAGAAATGCTTGGATTTGTTTTCTGTGGTCAGGATCGGAGCTGATGCCCAAGGCTTTATCCACAAGGATTGTGGGAGGAATCTGGTGGTTCTTCACCCTCATCATCATCTCCTCATACACTGCAAACCTCGCTGCTTTCCTGACCGTGGAGAGAATGGACTCTCCCATCGACTCTGCTGATGACCTGGCCAAGCAGACCAAGATTGAGTATGGCGCTGTGAGGGACGGATCCACCATGACCTTCTTTAAGGTCAGCCACCACCTCTGAACATCAACACAGAACATATATTATATTTACTAGAAATCATATAGTTAAAGGTGCCCTGAAATGCCTTGAAATGCGCAGCTTTCTTCAAAGTGTGATTTCATTTAAACTGAAATTTGAAAACAGGGCGGGGCATATCATGTAGCTCCTCCTCTTTTCTAAAACAGCCAATAGTGTTCTGTTTATATCACAGCTCTGCTAGCTGACATAAGGACATCAGACATTACAATCTGGCTGCATTAGTAAACTTCTATACTATATACTAGGCAAGAAGTAGCCGCATTTGATGGATGCTACACTATCCCATAATGCAACACGAGAGAATTCATGAACAGTCTCATTCACTTCTATTGATTTTTAGTAGTTAAAAACTTTGTGATGTTGCAAACTGATATTCTTTTATATAATATTCTATTTTTTATGTATATTAGGGGTTGCACCAACTAGTCGACTATTCTAATACTGATACTAATAAATAATAACCATCAGTTTTGATTTGAGAGGGACTTTAATGCAGTATCTGGGTGTTTTGTGCTGTGGTTGTAGGTCAGTGAGGTTTGGTACAGGCACAGATTGGCAGGAATGATTACAGGACAGTGTGTTTTCAGCATGTAGAGAGTGAATGAAAGCAGCTTATAGGAGGAAGGGAGTGTTATGAGAGCGTCTGTCACTGCAGATGAGGATTTTACTGCAGAAATAAGACACGAGGGCAGGAAATCCAGCGGTAAGATCAGCATACTGTACATTTACTCAAAGCTTTAACAATAAGCATGGCTGAATGAGGGGTTTAGCAGAAGAAACTGAAAGTTTGTGAATGTCATCTTCAAGAAATCAGTTGTTTTGGCAGTTATTTTATTTTATTATATTATATTATATTATTTTATTTTATTTTATTTTAAAATTTAAGTAATTTAAACTATTCACATTTTCTACTTGTTTAAAATTCTTTAATTTAATTAAAACATTTTTTTATATATTTTTATTAATTTAATTTAATTTAATTTAATTTAATTTAATTTAATTTAATTTAATTTAATTTAATTTAATTTAATTTTATTTTATTTTATTTTATTTTATTTTATTTTATTTTATTTTGGTGAAGTAATGTAAACTATTCACATTTTCTATTGATTGTTTAAATTTCTTTAATTAAATTAAATTTTATTTTATTTTATTTGATAAAGTAATTTGATAAAGTAATTTAAATCATTCGCATTTTCTACTGTTTGTTTGATTCATTATTTATTAATTTTATATTTTATATTAGATAAAGCAAGTTATATCATGCTTTTGTAATATGATTACACCCTTTTAACGTCACTGTAAATAATTATTTATATATGTTTTTTTTTATTTTGATGTAGTATTTTAAACGTTTTTTCTATTATTTTATTTTATTTTATCCATGTTCAGTTACACCATTATGACATTATTGTAAATAATTATTTTATTTTATTTGAAAAGCTGACTTTTTTAATTAATCAAAAATAATAATTAATAGGTTTTTTAATAACAGAATGTTCTGAAATTTAAAAAATAAAAATACTTAAAAATACCTATGGTGGCTCAGTAGTTAGCACTGTCGCCTCACAGCAAGCAGGTCTCTGGTTTGAGTCCTGGCTGGCCCAGTTTCTGTGTGGAGTTTGCATGTTCTCCCTGTGTTGGTGTGGGTTTTCTTCAGGTGGCGTCCCCCACAGGCCAAACACATGCGCTATAGGTGAAATGAATAAGCTAAATTGGCCGTAGTGTATGAGTGTGTGTGTGTGTGTGTATGAGTGTATATGGATGTTTCCCAGTTCTTGGTTGCAGCTGGAAGGGCATCTGCTGCATAAAAAAATATGCTAGATAAGTTGGCGGTTCATTCCGCTGTGGCGACCCCTGCTTAATAAAGGGACTAAGCCGAATGAAAAAGAATGAATGAATAAATATACATACTCAAATATTAAAAGTTCCTCATATTTTGATGGTTTAATTCATATTGTATGACATTATATTCAATATATTCGCTGAATTATAATGCTCTGATGCTTTCATTGGTTTGCAGAAGTCGAAGATCTCTACATATGAGAAGATGTGGGCGTTCATGAGCAGCCGGAAGAACACAGCGTTGGTGAAGAACAACCGCGAAGGCATCCAGCGGGTCTTGACCACTGATTACGCTCTCCTGATGGAGTCCACCAGCATCGAGTACATCAGCCAGAGGAACTGCAACCTCACGCAGATCGGGGGACTCATCGACTCTAAGGGATATGGCGTCGGCACTCCCATCGGTAAACTGAAAATTTATGAGGACATGCCAGGGCTTTAGGTAGCTCTGCATTTAACCACACACTGTATAATCTACACCTTCATTTAACTTAAAAACTAACTATTAAAAAAAATAAATAGTAATGTTACCTTCTGAGAACTTCCTGATGCTACACATGTAGTTTATACAGATTAATGAAAGTTTGATGTATTTTTGTCTTAATGGTTCAGTAAAATCACTGTGCATTGAGACTATAACCTTCTTTTCTTCCATTTTGTTTACAATAATGAGAAAACTTCCGTCACAGAAATGTAAGCCTCTGCCATTTTCCTTTCTGTCTTTTCCCACGGGGAGCTCATTCTCTCATTGAGTGTGATTCAAGGGGATTACTCTCATTTTAATTCAGCAATGTATTTTTTTAAAAGCGAATTAATCTAAAAAGTAACTCGAGTTACGTTTTTTTAAAAAGTAACTCAAATATTATTACTACATTTCTTAAAGTAATGTGTTATTTTACTCTTTACTTGAAAAAGTATTAATATTATGTAACTCGCTTCACTTGTAATGCGTTACCTACAACACTGGTCTTAATATTTATATAGCTTTTATCTTTGTTTTAAGTTAAATTAATCTTGAAAGAAAATGAAATACCAACTTGCTGGATTAAAAGAGTAACATAATTAAATTGAAAAATAATTATTAATCATTTTTATATTTTATAATATTTCTGTTCTGTTTTTGAAATTAAATGAAAGCTAAAAGTTTTATCATTTCACTTATCGATAAAAAAATATTGATATTTATTTTATATACAGTTGACGTCAGGATTATTAGCCCCCCTGAATTATTAGCGCCCCTGTTTATTTTTTTCCTGAATTTCTGTTTAATGGAGGGAAGATTGTTTCAATACATTTTTAAGCGTAAAAGTTTTAAAAACCTATTTCTAATAACTGATTTATTTTATCTTTGCCATGATGACAGTAAATAATATTTTACTAGATACTTTTCGTGACACTTCTATACAGCTTAAAGTAAGTTTAAAGGCTTAACTAGGTTAATTAGGTTAACTAGGCAGGTTAGGGTAATTAGGCAAGTTATTGTATAACGATGGTTTGTTCTGTAGAATATCGGGAAAAAATTATCTTAAGGGGCTAATAATTTTGTCCCAAAAATGTTTTTTAAAAAATTAAAAACTGCTTTTATTTTAGGCGAAATAAAACAAATAAGACTCTCCCTAGAAGACAAAATATTATCAGACATACTGTGAAAAATTTTTTGGTCTGTTAAATATCATTTGGGAAATATTTAAAAAAGAAAAAAAATCAAAAGGGGGCTAATAATTCTGACTTCAACTGTATATATATATATATATATATATATATATATATAATTTTATTTTTACATATAATATATTTTATATATATTTATAATATAGTATATGCATTTAGTATGAATTAGTATGTTGCTAGTATGATTAGTATATTGTTAGTATGATTGGTATGTCGTTAGTATGTTTCTAGTATGAATTGGTATTTCGTTAGTATGTCCAATGTAAAGTCAATGGCTGTTTTTTTTTTTTTTTTTTTACAAAGGAAGTCTATAGGACAGTTGCTAGGGTGCCATAAGTGGTTGCTAGGGTGTGGCTAGTATGTTGAAAGGTGATCAGTGATTGGTAGATTGGTAGTCTGAGTTAAATGAGTGTAACCTTAGTTCTGTATGATAGTCTGCCAGACCCGGACCCGACCAGATTTCTGCGGTGCGGAAATAAATTTCCGAATAAAGCACGGGAGCGGTCGGTAACGGGTTTTATTAGTGACGGGTCATCTAGCGATATCGCTCCCGACTCCCGAGCGAGCGAGCATGCGAAATTATGTGTGTAAATGAAATAGCGTGATGCTGTGTTTAGCTTGTTTGTTGCTGTTTGTGTGTGTGTGTGTGTATGTGTGTGTGTGTGTGCGCGTGTGCGCGAATGAGAGGTTTTGTGTGTGCGCGTGAATGAGTGAGAGAGTTTTGTCTGTGTGTGTGTGTACTTGGTGATTATGTGTGTTTGTGTGTGTTAGTGTGCTCGCGCGAATGAGAGAGAGAGAGAGAGAGCTTTATCTGTGTGTGTGCAGACAGTTTGTTATAGCCTGTCTGGACTGTATAGGGGGGTGGTTTTCGGTTTTGCTCTCCCCCCGCTCTTTAGCGGGATCGGGCGCGGCGGGTAGAAAACGGGGCGGGTCGGGCAGCGGGATAACAAATGCTTAATATAAGCGGGAGCGGTTGGGTTCAGGCTTAAACCTGGTGGGTACGGCGAAATGTAGTCCCGCACAGATCTCTGGTCTGGCGCTAAGTTATAGGTCACAAAATTTGGTCCAATGTTAAGTCAAAGGGACTTCCAAATTTCAAAACTTTCAAAAGTTCAGAATTTTCCGGGACAGTTTTCAGAAAACTGTAAATCGGATCAGTTGGAAAAGATATAGCAACTTAATTCTGTATAGTTTGGAGGTTTGGAGTTAGTTTGGTGGTTGTAGTATGAACCGTCTAGGAGAAGATGCATTCTTAAAATAGCCTAAGAAGAAGAAGAAGTTTATGTAGTATAACAGTATGTTGCTTTCTCAAGCCACCATAATAACCGTGAAAATTGTAAATGTAGGTTTAAAAATCGTGGTTAAAACCTTTAAACAATAAATAGTTATTCGTTTAAATACATTTTTATTACAATATATTATTTTTATATAATAGAATATTTATTTCAGGGCGCGATATTGTGGTTAGCTGTGTTACCTCACGGCAAGAAGGTCGCTGTTTCGAGTCCCAGCTGGGTCAGTCGGCGTTTCTTTGTGGACTTTGCATGTTTTCCCCAGGTTGGCGTGGGTTTCCTCTGGGTTCCCCCACAGTCCAAATACATGTGCTATAGGTGAATTGAATAAACTAAATTGGCCGTAGTGTATGTATGACTGTGAATTTGTGTGTATGGATGTTTCCCAGTACTGGGTTGCGGCTGGACGGACATCCGCTGTATAAAACATATGCTGGATAAGTTGGGGGTTCATTCCGCTGTGGCAACCTCTGATGAATAAAAGGACAAAGACGTAGGAAAATAAATAAATAAATAATTTTCATTTAAGTGAATAATAAATATCCCTCTGTGTCCCTCAGGCTCTCCGTACCGTGACAAGGTGACGATCGCCATCCTTCAGCTGCAGGAGGAAGGAAAGCTGCACATGATGAAGGAGAAATGGTGGAGAGGAAACGGCTGTCCTGAGGAGGACAGTAAAGAAGCCAGCGCTCTCGGTGTGGAGAATATCGGAGGAATCTTTATCGTGCTGGCGGCTGGACTCGTGCTCTCCGTCTTCGTGGCAATCGGAGAATTCATCTACAAGTCCAGAAAAAACCTGGACATCGAGGAGGTGAGCGTCGGACAGTGCGAATGGCACAACAAATACTGACAAAAACTACTTGACTTCTCGGCGCTCTGAAACACGGATTTTACAGTACCTGCGCCATTATATAGGGGGCGATGTTGGACAGCGAGCAAAATTTTGCGTTTTATTTTCACCGTTTTTATGTCAGATGGATTTTTGGCGATGTTGGACAGCGAGCAAAATTTGACGTTTTTTTTTTCACAGTTTTCATGTAATGTGGATTGCGGTGATGTTGGACAGCCAGCAAAATTTGACGTTTTTCATGTTTTTCACGGATTTCTGAGGTGAAAGACGAGATGAAGACAGGAGTGTTTGTTTGCAGTTCGACCATTTACTCAAGTTACTATTTACTAGAGTAGTTCACATCCATGTTGTTTGTATTTTGATCATATGGGCGTTATTTTTCAATTTAATTTATGATAAGACATGTCTGGTTATGCATACATTTTTTTCAGGCTAAAATGAGGATTTGAAGCTTCATTCATTCATTCATTCATTTATGGGTTGGTTGTCTTGTGGTTACTGAGAAACCTTCGATTTTATTCTGGAATGCAGGAATTATGTTTTACTTTTAGGCTTATTTTGACCATCTTAGCCTTTCTCTCTTAAAATTACTTGGTTTATTAGCAATTGTTGGCAAGAAATACTGACACTGATTTCCGGAAATACTGATTTCCGAACTATTTTTATGCCTCAACCCTCTGAAACACAGACTCTGCAATTCCTTCGCCGTTTTATAGGGGGCGATGTTGGACAGTGAGCAAAATGTTTCGTTTTTTCTTTTCTTCCATTTTTCCATCTCAGACAGATTTCTGATGTGAAAGATCAGGTGAAGACACGACTGTTGGTTGGCAATTCGACTATTACGCAGGTTACTATTTACTAGAGTAGTTCACATCCATGTTGTTTGTATTTTTATCATACGAACGTTCCTTCTTATTGTAATTTATGATAAGATAAAAGGTGATTTTGTTTCCATGTTAAAATGTTCATTTGAAGCTTCATTCATTATTTGAAGGGTCAATTTTAAAATTAATTGTTTGATTTAATAACTGTTGACAACAAGTACTGACTTCAAGGTTTCTGAACTTCTTTTACTTCTCGACCCTGTGAAAAGTGGACCCATTGGCCGTGTCTGGTCTTGTCTTGACCAAAAAAGATACGCATGAACACAAAACTGACAACAGCAGACTGAAATGAGAGCCGTGTTATGCTCCTATGTGAGAGGATGCACCAGCAGGGGGCAGTATGTGTATTGTCATTATACAAATGGGAAACCAAAAATAGTGCTGCACACATACAAACTGTAAACAAAGCAACTTTTAGTACCATTTTGACAGTACTTCTCTAACAATTCATGTTGTTTGCACAAATTTGAGAAATGCAACGAAAATTACAGCCGGCTTCTTTGTGTTTCCTCTTAACTCAAATAGTTTGCTTAGTTTTGACACTTCAGTTTTTGTTCTCGCACTGATTGATTGCTGAGCAATGAGAGGCTTTCTTTCACCAACGCTGATTTTACATGAGTCAACTCACTTTGACGCTAACTAGAGAGGTAAACACACCAATCAAACTAACGCTACAGACGCTGCCCAACAGCTGACTATTTTTTTTTTGGTGTTTTTTGGTGTTTCCCGGCCTTTAGGCAAGTATTGAAATTAGCCTTTGTTGAAATATAAAGACATGAGTCTTACGGCTCATGCACACCAGGACGATTTTTTCTCCTGCTTATAGTTAAAGTTTTTCAAGATGCTTTTCAGCATTCGTACCCAAGTGACTTTCATTGGCAGTGAGCAGAGTGAACATGCAAAATCACTTACTGACGTTAGATGGTGCTTAATGAAAAACAGAAAAACTCCGGTACACAAGGTGGCGCTGAGCAATTTTACACTTCTGACACTCACATTTATAGCATAAGCTTTTCCACTTCTGTTTAACCCTCTCCAATACAGCCAGGGCCGGCACGTCCATATAGGCAACCTAGGGCAGCAGAATATCGAGGGGGGGGTCCGCGACACCTCCCTCAACACTCGTGTCCTCAGTTATGTCCACATAGGGTTGTAACAATATACCGGTATGACGGTTTACCACGATTTGAACGTGCACGATTATCATACCATGAACAATTGCATATCAACGGTTTTAACCCTTAAAGACCGAGACAGCCGCCCGCGGCTAAAAATAAGTAACGTTATTGCTCTTAAATGTTTAATAACTTTTGATCCGCTGATCCGATTCATACAATTCAAAGATTGGCATAAAGAAGAGAATCTCAGCTTTCTAGTGCTGTATCACATAACATTCGCGGACTTTCAGAGGCTCCGGAATCAGTGCGGTTACGTCATCAACATTTGACAACGCTGATTTGACAAAGAAACGCTCGTCACTGTGTCTCCGGACAAATCAGACATGATACATCGATGCATTGTCCCTCCTCCATGCCCAGATTGGTTCAAACTCGCTATATCACAACCAATAAGCATAGGTTTCGCTTTTGTTTGTGGACTAAGCTTTTTGAACAACACGGAATGAGAGATAGGCATACATTTATGCGCGGCTAAATAAAACGCAAAAAAAAAAAGTTTTGCATGAAATAATTCTCATACTAAGTACTTTTGCATGCACAGCAGCACAGAAACATGACAAAACAGTGACACAGCAAAGACGAACTGCTGCTCGTGCTGTTTTCAAAAGACGCAAATGAAGATGCAGCTGTTTGTCTGCATTGCAGACAACCATATCCATATCCATAGACAACCATATCCATGCTGGCACATAAAACCTAAGGATGTTCCATATTGAATCTAGTTTCGTTATGTAACTATTTATAGTATAGTAAATATTTATATCTATTTTTTACTGAGGATTTGCACCATGTTTATTTGGACTTTACTTGGACTTTGACACATTATTTATTATTTTCTTATTTTTTTATTTGTTCATTGTAAGTGGTGTTGTTTATAGTAACTAAAAATATATTATTTGGAAAAAGTCAAATTTGCTTCACTTTTCTATTATTTTGTAACATTTGTAACATACCGTATACCGCGAAACCGTCAAACCGTGGTATTGTTTTAGACGATTATCATACCGTGAAAAATTCATACCGTTACAACCCTATGTCCACAACACCCCTCTCACCCCGCCTCCTCAGTTATATCCGCGCCTAGGGATAGAGAATAGAGAGAGGACGGCATCCATGACACCTCCCTCAACACCCGCGCCCTCTGTTATGTCTGTGAGAGTTTGATAACCGGTCATTTCCGTTTTCACTTTCGAGTTGAGGGCGGAGTGATCATCCTTTGCCTAGAGCCGTAGTTCAGCTTGCTCCGCCCCTGAATACAGCACACAAAAGTTTGCTGGAAAAATTTACAAGCATGAAAGAAGATTAAGTGAAATGAAACTCATCCTACTTGATCTGCAATTCCTATGTGCTAAGCTCGAGTGTTTTCCGCTTGAGCACCACCAAGTGGTGTTACTGTAACTTCAGCAGCTCAATGCACATAAACAAAAGCACCAGTCTCATTGGTCGACTAGTTTTTAACGCAACATGTCAAACAAAAAGACAAGCCTGAGGTGTTTTTTTTTTTTTTTAAAAAGACATTTACATCTGCCATTTTGCCTGTGCACGCTCAAATTGGCAGTTTGTTTTATTACAAGGCAATTAAATGTTGGTGATGAGCTTAAACTAAAATTGTCCCACAACATGTGCACGTTTGTTTGCAGACTATTACGCAAGTTACCTTTTAGTCGAGTAGTTCACATTCATGTAGTTTTTTTTTTATTAAAAAAAAACTTTTTTCTTTGCAGAAGAAAGCCTCTTTAAGGCTGATTCATACTTCTACGTCAAGCACACGCTTATGGCCCGGTGCAGCCTTTGCGCATACTGTGACACTGTGGCAGATCCCAACGCTGATGCACACTTCTCAAAAAATGTAACTACACATCGTAACGACATGTAACGCAAGTTCTGTGATTGGTCGGCTTGGTAGCGGTGTCGAGTGTGGGCGGTGCTGAGAGCCGCGAGCCCAATGGAGCGAGTGTTCACAGATGTCGAGTCTCATGAAGGAGCTCCAGATGGAAACCTTTGTTTTCTGTTTACCTTATGATTAAAGTTGTTGCACATACGCCGGTTTCCATGTCTAAATGAGCGCGTTTTAGCTACTTGTACATTAGGGTAGCCTTCTGAAAAAACAAAACACCCACAAAGAAACTCGACACGGAGGAAGATAAAAGCCTACTGCCTGATAGCATTTCGGAAGTGCTATTGCAGATCAACACAAACAGAAGTATAAATGCATGACTATGAGCAAGGCAGGCGCCGTAGGTCACGCTGATCACTCAACGCAGAAGTACAAACCAGCTAATGAAATAGCCAGTAGGTGGCATCAAATCCCATACTGATCCTCTCAAATGATTCAAAATGATGGAGCACGTGATTCACTCTATAAATAGATCATCAAGTCATTGAATCAAATGATTGGTTCAAAATCAGATTCTTTCAGGAATTAACCACTGCAGTGTTGCTCTGTTCTGCACCGGCTTTGTTTTGAATTGTTTTCGTTGGAAAACCAGATTAATCATAATTATAGATTTTGGACTTTCAAGATGCGTTTTGTTTTCTGTTTTTACCAAAATGAGTAGCATAGTCAATAATGTCAAGTCACTCAATGTTAAAAGGGGAATAATTTGAACAGTATTTCACACATTTAAGTGAGATTAAACAAACATGTCCACGATAGACTGAACATGCAGAACTACCGTTGCACAAGTCCTAACCTGACATCTAGTTGTTATCTGCCCTTGCTGGAGCTGAAAATGCGGTGTGAAGTGATCAAATGATATATGAGCGTTTGTAATGTTTAATATGCACTGTGGATTCAACAAATGTTTGGTTATAGGATTAAAAACTCAGATAGTTATATTTGATTCAGTCTAGTGCAAGACTTTTTTGTCAGCGTTATTTCTGCTTTTGTATTGTTTGACACTTTAAAATGCATATAAATATAGCTTTGAAATGATTACGTCATGAGCACCATCTATGATTTCTTTGTTTTTCCTTTCCTAGATTTGACTGAATCAAGTTCACATGCTTTATAATCAAAGTGTGGGTTATTTTTAAACTAATATTGAGAGGAGTGTATGCTCATGATTGACCACAGCTGGTCCCGCATTAGCTAATACACAATCAACCAATCAGCCAATTCCTAACTCACTATAAATAACCAGAGTTTCTTAACTCAGTGTCTTTGTTTTGAAGAATCCCCCTTCCACCCCTACTCCTCCACCTTTCACTTTTTAGGGTGGCACGGTGGCCCAGTGGTTAGCACTGGTGCCTCACAGCAAGAACATCACTGGTTCAAGTTCAACATTTCTATGCGGAGTTTACATGTTCTCTCTGCACTCGTGTGGATTTCCTCCCACAGTCCAAAGACATGCGACAGGTGAATTGACCAAACCAAAATGCCACAATAGATGAGTCAGCAGTATAGTTCCATAGCAATTCATAATTTGCCATATATAAGCAGGGGAGTTCTTGAGATTTACCAGAGCTCAAACTCCCCTCGCAGGGGCCTATTAGACCGAACATGCTTTTACGTTTAAAAAACTTGAGGCGCACCTCACTGCCTTTTTGTTGACAAGAATTAAAGAAGCACAGTGCACTTTTTACATCACTAGGCAAAGACTGAATGAGCTGCGTATTATGTGAGAGTGTTGCTGTTGATATTAATATAATTGTAATATTTAATAATATTGTGATATTCAAGATTTGTAAAGTCCTACAGCTCTAGATAACAGCAAAACAGCAATTTCTCCTTCATCTTCATCTGTAGTCGTCTTGACAACACAAACACTGCTTTCGCCCTAACAGAAACCAAAAAGTTTAGAATGACCAAGAGGCGACACTCAATAGAACGTTCCATTGCAACAGCAGCGCCCAGCAACAGCCCCGGATTCCACCATTTTGGAGTGAAAGCGATCGGCC